GCTAATATCTGGAATTGGTTCTATTTAAACTGCAGGGCATTCTGCCCATGGCTGACAATTTATGACAGTATTTGGATTCTCAGCAGTATTTAAGCTGTATTGCTTTCTGACTTGTCACCTGAGGCAACAATATATCTGAATAATCCAACTCAAAAGCACAAGGTCCCATTTGGTACACAGACGTGTGCTGGAGACTTGATGAAGAGTAGGGCTTGATTGCCAGCTTTTACACTTGTGCACATTCCAGGCTTGACTGCATTGTGCAGGAGAAAAGAGTGAGGGGAATCTGGCTACACATCAGCTCCTTTATGTATTTCTGAAGTGATCTTTCTGGCAGCACTAACCAAATCTATAATGGAGAGGATGTGAGTGGGACTGTTCTGCTTCTCTAATTGATGATGGCACTGTTAGGACTGGCAAGCATTTTGGCAGCAAATACTTTTTTTGTTCCTCTTGCCAATTCTTCCTTGCCAATTTTTTCCTCTCTTCACCTAATGTCATTTTTGACTGTTTCTTCTTCTTCTTCTTCTTCTTCTGGGGTACGGTTCCATAAGTCCAAAGATCTGGCAGTCTGAGAATTAACTTAACATTTGATTTGTTGAATTGCTATCAACAAATCCATGCAGTTTTAATGTTTCAAAAGTGTAACTAGATTCTTTGCTCCCTGGTTTCATAAGATAGCACAGACAGCAGTTGTTGCATGTCTTAGGTGAGAGATGGCAATAGTATTATCTGCCTTTTAACAACTGCACATTTCAAATAAAAATCTCTGCCAAGTCTTTTCTGCAATGAGAATTCACAGCTGTAATAGTTTCTCCTTGCAACTCAAGTTTTTAACCTTAATCATCAGTACTTTGCTGCTCTCTTTTTAATGCCAAAAGATAATACAGTGACCAGGATTCTAAACAGCATTCCAGATATGTTGGTCATTTGCTCTGTACAGGTTCAATACTGCTTCCTTCAGTTATACTACACTGAGATAGATATAACCTGTAGGTAGATATATAACTATATCAACAGATTACCAGGATATGTGCAGTGACTTCTTTATTGTAGAAACTTCCTTATGCTATTGGAAAGAAGCTTAACTGCTTTTAGTTCAAGATTAATTCAATACCATAAATTGAATTTTTCCTTGGAATGAAAGCAGAATGCACAGTTAACAGTTAATAAGGAGTTTGCAACCCGTGAGGTGTTCAAAACCTGCTTGCTAATACTCATGGATAAGTCTTCATCTCTTATGCAACAATGTACTTGCTCAGTTAATACATATTCTGTTTTGTTTCATTACTATTTGACTACAGTAGACATATTTATGATTAGAAAATTAACTGGTAGATGCTTAGATTCCTAACCAAGCTATTCAAGTTCTGATCCGGTATAGGTTAGGTAACTCATTTTCTGACCATTAAAGTCTGAGGAATGGGGAGCAATTGGGAGAAGACTTTTGAAAATGTAAGCATGTAGAAAAACAATACTTTCATAAATGAACTTTGGTATAGTGATATGATAGAGTGAATCCAAAACATTTATCTACATCTTATTTGGTGATCCTCGGCATCCAGTTTGAATGGCATCACAGGCAGGAAATTTGCAGTACAGGCATTTTTTTAAAAAAAAATCATTCAGTGAACATTTATACATATAATGTGTGTGTTTTCAATTGTCAGCCTTTTTTCAATTTAACTGGTGGTTACTGACTGCTGGTATTGTCTTGATGCTGTTTTGAAATTGCACCAATGCAATATACATTAGATACAATCTTCAGGTGCAGTTGTGAGGTTTAAGCATTTTGCACTTATGTTTCAATCAGATGTACTACTTTGCTGATGTTGCAAATTTAAAAGTGGGCATGTAAGCAAGCCAGCTTAGAAATAAAAAAAAAGTTGAGTTCTTCAGCCACGAGGGATGTAAGTGGTAGGGGTGCTAAATGTAATTTGGGGCCATTTAAAATCTCTGGATTTCTTTTCTGAATCTTCACTAAACCGGGCAAGATAACTCGACCAAGCAGAATTAAGTAAAGTTCTACTTTATCATCAGTTAATTGTTTGATCTCATTTCCTGCCTATGAGAAGTTCTGTTTCAAGATTTCACTCTCTCCACTTTGAACTTCAAAAGGAAAATCTTAACACCTCTTTCATGAGGAATAAAGTCATCATACGGAAAGCATGCAGATGCAATTTGATTTGTGAAGTTAAAATCTTTTAACGTACAGATTGCACATTACAATTCATTTTTTTAAAAAAAAACTGTGTTCTAAGTTGTTTCTTTTGCCTATTGATGTTCCTCAGTGCTAAGAATCAGATACTCCTGCATGTTTCAGCTTGCAGTTTTTTTTGTCAGAATTCCTTAACTTAGAGAGAATTCTTTTGGTTTGGATTTAATAGAATAGAGGGAAATGTTTTGAGCTGCTGACTGAATTTTCTTTGATAGAGAATAAAATGCTAATTTGTAGGTGAAGAATTACTCTCTTGTAGCTTTTTAACCAAACTTCTTGTCAACTGTTCATCACTGTAGCCCTGAATATTTTTGCTAGTTTTCATTGGCACAAAGATGTCTGTCACAGAGGTCGACCGGACAGATTCACGGATCTGAAAAATGTACCTGCAAGTTACTTTGTAGCTGCACAGAAGCCAGTGCTTGTATCAGCAAGTAGTATTTTCAGACAAAATGGAGAAAATTCAAGTTGTGAAGAGGAAGTAATTCTTGGCACATTTGTACAATAAATATTAAAATGCTTGGGTTGCTCAGCTCGTATAAGTATGAACTCAGCATAACCATTATATAGATGGCCAAACTACACTTGCAGCACTAAAGTGGCTGTATTGTAATTTCAGCATATTGTTAATTGGAATACTGCTTTTTAGCTGATTTTCGTCTTTTTAGACAGATTATGTCAGAATACGAAAATTGAGATTGCAGCAGTGTTCAGCCAAGTGAATACTGTGCAATCCTGTGTTTGGATACTGCACCTCCCCTGCGGGAATGAGGAGTGAATATCAGAAATGTAGAATGGGCCGATTTTCATGGCCTAGAAAAAAATAGTGTATAGCAGCCGTTAAAGGGGGAAAAAAAATCGGCATGCATGATTACACATCTCTCCAAGGCGCATGAGCTGTAGAGTGATTGTGAAAACCAGAGGCTGGTTAGTTACATGAAGCTTCAGAATAGACTATCAATTGTAATTGATGGTGTGTTTAAATTCAGCTTTGCTACCAGCAATAAACTGGATGGTAGTACTGCTCATTTTAATTGCACAGAAACACTGGAGTTTAAAATAGGGTTTTCAAATGGGGTTTCTAAATAAGCATTCATTCACTCGAATGGAGAGTTTCTAGTGAGAGGTTGCTGTGACCAGTGAGAACACCTCTCTTAAGAGTGAAGTTCCTTTTGAAGTAGAGACTTTTGTGTCCTTTTGGAGCAGAAATTGCATGTTAGTGAGATTAGAAAATGCATTAGAAATCCTGCATTTTAGATCCATCTGGATTTTGTGAGTTGGCAATTATGCTGATGCTTCTTCTGTGAACATTGGTTGGCTGTATAGATGGTTTACTTATTGGTCCTCACCCCGCCCTGAGCAGTCTTCCATTGCAATTGGGTGAATGTCTAGTGACCATTTGCAAATTTGTACTTTCAAACTTTTACCAATGCTCTTTGCTCATTGCTGGCTTTTGAGTAAATTATTAATGCTAATTATTTTCAGATCATTTCAGATAATAACCAATTATTAATACTAAACCCAACTAAACTTAAATTGTTTTTATATAGGAAAAGGAAATGATGGTGGGGCTGTAATCTGAAAGGCCAAGTCCCTTTTGTGCATTAAGCTAAGAAAACTGATTTTTTTTGCAAAAATTTATTATTTTATTCATTATTCATTATTCCAACTGTTAAAACTGGTTACTTAACATTTTGTGAAAAAAATTGGATTGTGCACCATGGATTATTGGTACACAGAAGGGAGATTGGGAATACAGTAAAGAAGCAATCCATTATAATTAAACCTTGTAGCTGCATTATGGATATGTCTTTAATCCTACAAGCTATAGCTGTAATTGTGGAGTCCTGTAGCTCAGTGGTTAGAGCACTCGCTTGCAAGTGAGACACCTGTGCTCAATTCCAGGCAGAGGGCGAAACCTTGGGCAAGTTTCCTTACTCCACACAGAGCCTAATAATAATCCCTCCAAAACAAAACAATAATAAATTGGTCATTTTCAATCCATGACTGTTTGTGGGACACTGCTGTGCGCAATTGGCTGCCGAGTTTCTCCCACAAATATACAGTCAATTTGCTTTACAGCATATTCTGTGAAGCACTTTGAGATGTCGAGAAGACGTGAAAAGCGCTATATCAATTGCAAGGGTTGTTATAATAATTCCTGTAGATTGTTCAATTTTGTATAATTTTAAGATAATCAGATGAGTAGCTGTGCTAAAAGTTCCTCTTCCCAGATATTTTGGAAGTATAGTAATTTGATTTTTTAAATTTGAACAATGAAAATTCACTGCCAAATCCTCAGACATTTATTTAAGTATCAGGTGGGGCGAATGGTCGAATTCAAGATCACTATTCTGGTCTCAAAATGAGTCATTAACCTAAAAAACCAGTCGTAACCTAAAATACAGTGTTTCTAAATTGTGGAGAAAGATTATACTTTGTTTCTCCATATGGGCGGGGAGATTTTGCTCTGTTTTCTCAGTGATCAGATTGCTTAATAAAACTGGTCCCAGGTGTGAACAGCACGTTATTGTAATTGCTTGACTGCCAAATGCATCCCTATGATGAATTAGCTTTCTGCAGTGCAAGCGTTCACTTGGGACAGTCTATTACTGGAAAAGCTACCTGTGGTGCATTCACCAGACAAACTGTCACCATTCATCTGGAAAAGCAGAGTAATGTGTTCTGATTTTTTTTTCATAACACTGCGGGATACCATACAGATAACTTAGGTTGCAAATGAATATTAACTTTTTTTAAAATTTGTATTTGTTTTTATTAGGTATTTCAACCTGAAGATGAAACGAGATACCTCCTTATTCACAGATGATTTTATATTGGAAGAGTCGGGTGAAAAGATTAACTATGATACCTCTCATATCTACACTGGTGAAATCTATGGTAAGATTGTCTACTTGTGAATTTGAGGAAAAAGGAGTTAACATGCATTTCAAAGAGGGGAGGTTAGAATTGTCAAAGGAAAAGTAAACTACTCTAATCTTTACAAAAGCCTCTCTAATCAATGTATATTCGCCTTGCCTCAAGCCTATTAACTTTTGTGGGATTTTGGCTTTTGTTGTGAATTTAAAAATTATTATTGTCCTGAATCTGAACTTTTCACAAGATAGGCTTTCAATTGTTTTGTGTAGCCACACATGTTGTTTTGTACTGTTTCCTGCCGTTCTCCTCCCTCTGGCCCCCAGCTGACCATTAATAATAGTACAGATCAGAGGTTTGAAAAGGCGAAAAAAAAATGAAGGAAATGCAGCTAACTATGTAGTATCATAAAAGCCTGCCCGAAGTGTACTATTATCTTGGGAACTGTGAGGGGGAGAACAAATTAAAAGAACATTTTATATAATCTAATTTAGGATGGTTACATTAACTAATTAACAGTTCTATTCCAGATACTGTAATATTAACTTGCTCAGAAATACAACAAATGGTTATTGGCTCTTTTCAGCTACTGAAGGGCTTGGGCTGGAAGCAATTTTACTCATTGGTTTAAAATTAGACTTATGTATGCTTCTCACGTATGCTGTTCCCCGAGGGCTTTGCGATCACAAAGGCTTGTAAGTAGGTGTTATTGTGGTAGTTTTCGCCATCTTCGCCTTTCTATCATGGAATTTGTTCTGTATTTTAATATTGAAAACTATTCAAAAAATTGGATTTGTTCAATCTAAGTACCATTGTTTCCTGAAAAATATGTGAAATAAACCTTGTGCATTCTGTGAAAGGGATGTATTTTTTAAAAAAAAACACATCTGAAACATTTGTTTAATAAAATATTGCAAAGTTACATCTCTCCTAAAGCTAAACTGCTTAATTTCCAAATTCCATTCTGAAAACCCCTTGCATTGCAAGTTCTTACTTTGTGTACACCGAATACTGTATCTTTTTCCATTTTCTTATGAAATGTGTTCGGTCAAGAATGGAATAACTTTTTCTCCCAGTATTTTGCAAGCTTCCCCAAAAGCCATGGTGGATGATTTTGCTACGGTCTTTTTTTAATGAGCTATATCATGCCACTTCAGTAACTTCAAAGCATTTGCCTTCCACATTGAACAACCTGCAGTAGTTATCACTTGTAACGTGAAACTGAACTGTACCAAAGGCTGGGCAAGGCACCACGACTCCCCACTCTACACGGTTGTAAAGCAGATTGTGACTTAACCTTCTAGAATATCAATAAAGAGTGTGAGAATTTCGCCCACAAATATACATTCAATTCACTTTACAGTCTAGTCTGTGAAGCGCTTTGAGATGTTGAGAAGACGTGAAAAGCGCTATATCAAATGCAAGGATTATTATAAGAGAGTACGCGTTTGCTTTCGTATCTCATCAAATCCAGTGTCTCAACTGGAGCCCATGTGATCTGATCGACACCTGCTTGCTTTCGAGTTAAGGTGCTAAATCGGGCAAGTCAGTAGTTCGATAACTTTATATCAATGGTGTTGGCCAGTGGAGCAGAGTATAGTTCGGGAAAAGGTTTGATAGTTGGGCAGTTTGCCTGACCTGAGTTTTGCGTTACTGGACGGAAAGGAGCGTCTGAGTTGATCTGGAACAATGCATTGATGTACAAAAGCATCAACTCCAATGTTTTCAACTCTACATGCTGTGTATTACCTTGTTGTGGGATTATATTCCTACAATTTCTGGCACCAGACAAAGTGGTAGTCTTTAAATAAGAGAATGACTACATACTTGGATGATTTAAATACATATTTCCAGAATATGAAACTAATTTGTTTGTGGACTAAAACCAGATCTAATACAAGTAGTTGATTGCATTTTTGTAATTGCCAGGAACACCATGAAGCTAATTTAAATGTAAATAGTCTTATTACAAAAACAATTTCCTGCTTCACACACCTAGAAGCCCAATGTTTTTAAGACCCAAGCAGATGAATGACCATTTAGTCGTTTCCAATCGTGTAGAAAGTGAATTATAAAAAGCTCTGTTAAGGTGGGTGACTATTGAGTTGCTCTTAATATTCCTAGTATTGCATCTTCCATTTTATAAAGCTTTGTTGTATGGTCTTACAGTTTGTTTCCAATGGGTTTCAATCTTTGGTCACAAGGTTATCCTTTTACGATTATAGGGCTTGCATGCTGTATAATAGCTGTGAATTGCCCAGGAAATTGTCCTTGCATTGTTGTAAAACCTCTGTTTGAACTTTCATTAATTAGGGAACGCAGCTGATAACTTTATTTTGGGTTGGGCAATGATGGTGCATTCTTCATTTTGCTTGCAGCAATTTTTCAAAGGGAATTGCTAATAAATGATTTGAAACAATGAAAGCACAGCTCTATTTTTGTCCCGGAAGTCCTTTTCTTATCACTTTCTTTAATTTTTGTTCCCATCAAAATGTCTCCAAATTTTCACCTAGCAATCCAAATGCACAACAATATATTTTGGCAACTATTTAATTTTATGCAGACCATGAGGTGGTGGTTCTTATGAATTAAAATGTACCGGCCTGGCTTCGTAACGACTTCACCCATAGCTCAGCAATCCCAAATCCAATTTGTGATGCTTTCTTTCCTCCCCTCATTCATCCTTAATGAAATGGGCAAATGTGAAAGCTGTTGTGTGCTGTAATGGTACATTAGTAAAATGCATTGCATTGGCAAATGCTTTACCACGTACTTCAGGTCTGAAAAAATCATCACTACTTATTGATTTGTTTTAATGCATTTTCACTTTGCCGTTTATAACCTCGCATTAATCTCCTCGCTAAGTCTCCTGTCAGTAAACCCAACCTCCACTCCTTATGCAGGAAGTTCCACAGTCCAATAAAGGTGTTTGCTCAAGAATAGAGCTTGACTGTTCATTCCTAGGTGAATTCAGCATGTGTGCATACTTTATACCTGACTACAGAAATATACTAATAGTAACAGTTATAGCATTTTCTTTAAGACTCAGCCTACATAATTCTGAATTTGTGAATTTCGTGCACACTTTATTTATTATTTCTTATTGTAAAGTTTTGTTTTAGTAGAACCTAGTAATCTAGGTTGTCATTTACATTCGCCATATTATCTGGATTTCAATTTTCTGTTTGCTTTAGGATTTAATTGCTTCTGTCAATAATTGAGTCTTTGAACTGTTCAGCGGATATGGATTTGATAGCCAAGTCTTTGAACTGTTCAGTGGATATGGATTTGATAGCCAAGAGTGGGATTGGATTAAAATGTCAAGATTACGAGTTAATGGAACACATTGATCTTGTGATTTTTGGATAAGGTGGGTGGAGGGAAGGGTGCCGAAGAGAGAGTGCATCGTCTTTTACATGCAAGCAAATTGTTATATTAGTCATGATATCAAGTGATTGTTTTACTGTGATCAAGTTGTGGAACTATAGGAAAACTAGGCTTTTATGGCACCATTTGGCCAAGAATGAAGGATTTTATCAGTTCCATGACTGAGGAGCTGCAGTATTCCCTCAGAACGACATCATGCACATTAACTTGTGAACTATACCTGGTAAAGTATAATCAACTCTTAAATTATTCATAACGTAAAATAGTGCAGATGCTGGAAATCTGGAACAAAAACAGAAGTTGCTGGGAACACTCATTCCTTGCCCTTTTTTGTTGCTTCTTAAAAACCGCTCCCTCCAAACATGCCCCAGTTCCAACAAAGGGTCTTGGATCCGAACCGTTGACTCGTTTAACTCCCTCCATGGATGCTGCCTGACCTGCTGAGTGTTCCCAGCGACTTCTTGTTTAGTTTCTTAAATTATTCATGTTTATTCCATTTTGTGCATTAAATGTTCCCATTAGCTTCTTACTTGTGCAAAGCTTCTTGGCATTTCAACCCAACAAGAAAACAGTTATGGGATGAAATGCTTTAATAGAATATCCTTGGTGGAAAATAATAATCTGAGATGTGTACTGCAAATAAGATCAGAAGATGACTGGAAACTTAAGCATGCCAATAATATACTTTGTCTTGTACCACAAGGACATGAATACATCTGGCCCAGCACAGAAATCTACTTATAAATTTCTCTGAATTCTGTGGTGTATAAATGTTAATCCTATTTCAATGGGATTGCTTAAATACGACTTCACGTAAACTTTCAACATCTCCATTGGTTTCAAAGCTTTAAGATGAAAACTAATCCTTGCAATGCAATTCTGTTTTTTAGGTGAGAAGGGATCGCTCAGCCATGGATCTATATTAGATGGGCGATTTGAGGGATTTGTCCAAACCCACCAAGGCACTTTCTACGTGGAACCAGCGGAACGATACATAAAAGATAGAAAGCTGCCTTTCCACTCTGTAATCTACCATGAAAATGATATTAGTAAGTGTTTCTCTTTTTATTCAAGAGTCTTTGATCCTGTCAAAAACAGATGTACATGTTATGGCTATACAACCCTTGCAGGTAGTACTGACATTCGTAAGTTATCTTGAAGTGTTCAATTCAGTATAAGAACTGGTAAAATAGGTTTAAGTAACATTGACTCAAGTTCAGAATGATCGATTTTTCAGGGGATTTTTTGTGTGTGTGAATGTTACAGAAAAACGATCTTCTACACTTCAGACAAGTGTTTTTTTTTAAGAACCGGAGATTTTTGATTATACAAGGGTAACCAAACTGATCATTGATTCAATCTGCACTTTATTTTATACACTGAATGAATTCAAAGTGGGTAAGGGAATATCTGCTTTTTAATGGAGGGCTGAATTAAAAATGGATGCCAATGTACTTTAAGTGAAAGAAATTAATATTTCAAAGACTGCAAATGTTGGATAGACTTCATAAGCTTAGACGATGAGGCCCACATGAGCTTAGTATGACCTCTCTAATTTTGGACCTTTACATGCAAACAACAGCACGCTTTGTCTGACATCGAACTCTCAGAGCACTATGGATCATATGACTTGGAGTCCATTGAATTGAAGGAGAGTGCTGTGTGTCTGCAAGGGTTGTGGACAAAACTGCTTGTGTTTTTGCGGTCACATTTTTAGCTTAAAAGATATTTTTCTAAAGAACTAAGATAGTGTTTTTTGTTGGGAATTGTTCTGCTTGAATGAGTTTGTTATACGATCTGTGGTCTCATGTCTTAAAAGTTAATCCATGCCAATGGCTCATGGCACTGTCGACATGTGCACCAAAACCATTGTGTATCGAGTCAGTGATCCATTTTACACTTTTTAGGTGGATGATTTGAATTATCAACTAGTACAAATGAACATTTCGTATTCCACTGAGCTAACATCTGGCCAGATACAGGATGGCATGAGTATTAGAATATGGGGGTAAATTCATATCCCCCCAAAATTAGAAGAGCAGCACATGACAGTCCCATCTATAAAAAATGGCATCTGGTTCTCCTGGGATATGGCTTCCACCCTACACATACATGCAGTGTGGGATGGTCAACCACGACCACTGTGGCAAGCGTTGCTAGTACGATAAAGCCGTACATCCCGTAGCCCCAGTTATACAGTAGAGCTGTGGTAGAAGCAAACTCGCATTCTGAATGAGGCACCTAACAACTAGGTCACCCTGAACTCTCAAGTAGATAAATTATTTTGGCTCTTGCTTTGGTCAGCAGTACGGCCTTTTCTGTATCCTTTGTTTTAAAAGTGTCAACCCAGTTTTGTTCAAACATATCAATCTACCGCTTTTTTTTAAACGTCAGGCAAAGCTGAACGTTCTTGGATTCTTCTAAAGGGAATTTGTCTCGCCTGCTGCTGATCGGTGTTTTGTAACTGTTCGCTGTTCCTCTAAGGTTTTAAACAAATGTTCAAATTCAGAAAAATAATTTGGGTTTAAAAGTATCGATGGGATTTAAAAGTTTGTTGGCCCAGTGTTTATAGATGAAGCCAAGGTTAAACTGCCTTTTCAAATTGGAGAACACCTTAAATAAACTGAGAACTAACCTAACATTTTTTTTTCTCTCTCTCATAATCACCAGTCATTCAGTGACATGGTCTCTGTCTGATAATAAGTCTGTAGGTTTGAGCCATTTGGCCTATCCTAGTAGAAATGAAAGGCACAAAGGAAAGAAGGTAAACGTTATGTTGAAAAAAGCTTTGCAAATGTTTTTGTCAAGTTGACACAATAGCTGTAATAGCAAATTGTAAAAAAAAGTTGAGCTAATTTCATGTCATAATTTCCTCTCTCTCTCTCTCCCCCACCCCCGGCCTCAAAAGTTGGAAAATCATGGACCATTATATTAGTGTTGAGGAGCAGCTTACCTGAGAGACCTGGTGGTCTCACTAAATGGTTTATATCCATTAGAGCAATGACGTGCTAGAAGTCGTGATCAATATAGTTTGAACAAAGGTTGATGGGATTTCCTTCTTTCACTTATCGTACTGTATTAGCAATGGATCCTTGGGGGAAACCAAAGAATTAGCTCTTCAACCCTGTAAATCCCCTTTTGATTTAATGTCAGAAGTCTGGTTATCTACTACAGAATGTAAAAGTTGCTATGAGTAAAGGAATTTAATAAATAGTAATAGTGACTTATTTCATTCTGGGTGTAAGCACTTGATGATCCTAAGAATTAAATTGTATTTTTTTAATAAAAATCATAGTAATTCCTCATTTCTTTGTTATTATCAAGTACTCTGGGGTGCTGTCCGTGTGAGGGGTGCTATATAAATGTAAGTTGTTGTTGTTATGCATTCCAAGGTTGGGTCCATTGGCAGGCTGAGGTTTTAAGATCCATTTGCTCAAACGTGATGTTAACTGAATGCCTTGCCGTATCTTACATTTTGAATGTTCCCTGGTGTAGGCTGTTTGGGTGCTTCGATTCGGAATTTGCACAGGAATCCTATCCATTCTAATAAACCTCTAAGACTATTGTTAAAAGAAAATTGTTAAAACGAAATTACTCCTGGCACCGAACTGGAAATTGAGCGAGGTTAAGAGTAGATTTCATTGATCACTGGAAATTGCATCCACTTATACAAATAGATAGCAGTTAAATTATATTTTCTTATGTTTTTTAAAAAAAGATTGCCTGTAATCTGTTTTCTAAGTGTAGAATTGCAAAAGAAGCATTAAATGTCTGGACTATTGTATTAATTTTCAAGCAGTAGCTTTAAATTCCTGGAGGTGGGCTCTGCACTGGTCTATGGCTGACGGTTCAAAATCAGTTATTTGTTGTGGCTGTCTGACTGCTCAGCCTGGCAGGAGCCAGCTAGGCGTGCCTCAACAGAGCCAAGTACAGCATGCGATGCTGATGTTCCATGTATAATCACTTAGAATTTTTCCTGTCTTTTAAAATATACTTTATTTATGTTGTAGGAATTCCTGAGAAAAGAGTGGTGTGCACCGGCCAATGAATCTTATTCATATTCAAAGGAAAATTTTAAATTGCGTGCATGGGAATACTAGCTGACACTTCCTTGTTTCAATATATGTCAAGTCTTAAATCTCTAATCGGTTGGTTCAGCATCTGTGTATTTATGGCTAATTCTGCATACGCCCACACTCACATATTTGAGACGGAACTTACAGTTAGTCTCGCTACAACAGCCAACTATCATTTGCATTGCAATGAGCTGACATTCACTTGTGAAACAAGGGCTACATTCTAAACTAGTGTGGGGTTAGATTGTTGGTGAAAAGAATACGTTTAGTCTGTAATGAGGCTGAAAACTATGGACGATGGCCTTTTGAATTTTTGGGGGGAGGGGGAGATAGATTTATACCCTTCAGTTAGTGAGAGTACCATTTGGTTGCTTGTCACATGAGCTACTATAATTTCTGAATGAAAGTCCGACATCTCGCTGTGTATAAAGTGTGCACAAATAGCCTCATTAGTATAAAGTTAAAACTCTGATTGTGGGAGATGAACTATAAAGGCACAGTATGTGGGGCATCAAACGTTTTGGTTTTGTTTGGTCAGTTGATTTAGTTGTTGGATCTGATTTTTTTTTTAAAAAGTTTGGTTTCATAACTGCACCTTGTATTATTGTGCAATGTAAGCAAACTGCCTGAAAGTGTAATCGTTACTAAGGACAAAGTTCAAAACCTGTTTATTTTGCGAATGGATAGAGCTGTGAGCTAAAGGTGTGGTTGGGACCCGTTTCAAATAAATTTGCAAATGTATAGTCAGGTGCACCAAGTTCGGTCATTCAACCAGCACAAAACATAGTATTTATGACTGAATGGAAGCCAGTATTTATTGTGGTAAAACTATTGTGTCCTTACGTGATGCTCAACATGATGTACTGTGGGCACTTTTTTTGAGAACTACTTGAAATGATTCACTACCGGCAGTTGCTCTTGATGACCTGTTTCCAGGGCAACTGTTAGATTGATATTAAAATGTCAAGGTCATTGTTGTGGAAGATTAACTTCAAAATGTTTTTAAAACATCCTAAACTCACCGCTTTGCGCATTGTTTGGGAATATCTATATAATATAGGGCATCCATGAACTCTTCAACCGCTTAATCAAAAACACATGGTCCCCTACAGTAGCAAACTTGATATTGCTGTGAGAGACGGTGCCATTGACAGGAAAACTGACTAAAACCAACTTTTTAGTGGTGCAAATTGTCTTTGAGAGCACACGCACCATCCCATTTGGTTTGTTCCTGATTTTTGAGGCTATCTTCAGTGGCAAAGTAAACCGTTACTGGCGACTTAAAGCTGCATTTGTAACTCATGTTAATATGTTGAAAATAATAATAATAATAATCCTTGCATTTGATAAAGTGCTTTTCACATCTTCTCGACGTCTCAAAGCGCTTCACAGAATAGAGTGTAAAGTGAATTGACCGTATATTTGTGGGCGAATTTATATTTGTGGGCGAATTTAATAAAAAAGAAGTGAATGGTTGAGAGTGGTCCCAGTTTAGTTTTATACTGTGGTAACTTATCATCCTATCTTATCCAGTGATTGATTGTTTCAGTTCACTCTGTAAAGGTTAGTTATTTTCTTATTTTGGTGCTTACAGATGCAATACAGTAACTTTTGTGCAAGTTTTAAACAATTGGATAACACTAAAGATTGGACTAAGATTCTAGTTCTCTTGATGCACAGCTTAAGTCTTTCCATTCAGTGGTGTTGGTCAGGTGTTTCACAGGATAGGTACTCAGTTCCAAGAGCATCTCATATGGAATTAGCCTTCCTGAGAGAGGAGATTGTTTTCTTTGTGAAATTGTAGGGAATTGGATCGACTCCTTATTTATTTGATTCCGGACCCTAGACAACTTTCATGTTGGTGGGTTGCATAGCTTTCACGCGAGCTCTCATGTGCCGTTTGGCTGGAGAGCATCTTTCAATGCAATTCTGCATGTGCTAATTCCAAATACAAACAGGAGGAGCAACCAGAATTGATGAGTATTCATAAGCTAATGTCTGTTTATATGCAAGACACACAAGTTAAATGAAGGGTAAAAGTGCCAAAGAGCTGCCAAAAAAAGTCTCCTAAACACACTGCCAGTCATTGATGTCTATTGTTTGGTGGCTGGAGTCAAATGATGTGTGAAAATCAACTTGGCTTGAAAATGATAATTAAATCTGAAATGTTATTTTTTTTGTTGGGTGAAATACAACTGTCTGCTCTTTCTGTAGGTTACAGTACAAGCACATTTTGGTGATGTAACTGTATTGTTTTTCTAGAATATCCTCACAAGTATGGACCAGAAGGAGGATGTGCGGACCATTCTGTGTTTGAAAGAATGAAGAAGTATCAGATGTCTGCTGTGGAGGAGCCAACGCAACAGGTGTGCAGTCTAAACAATATCAGCATCTGGATCTTCTATGGGAGCCCATATTATAATGTCTTAATTGTCTATTCTAAACAAAGCTATAGTTGAAGCTGATAGTTTGCGTGCGCACATTTAATATCTGATCAAGTGTGGTTTTTACTTTCAGCAGAGAGGATGTTTACGATAACACAAGCCCTTGTACCTGGAAATGGAATTAAATGTTTCCATTGTGGCTGAGGCACATCTGATAAAACATGGCTCCTCATGCAATCCAGTGTTTCTTTTTGGTTGTGTGTTGTTGAAGTCTTTTTTTTGGAGTTGGAATGAGAGGGAGGTGGGGAGGAGACCTCTCTTGTGTGGTCTGGAAACAGTTGCAAGGACCACACAGCTCTGCGGCAAGACCTGAACTAGAGCTGAGGTGTACGTTGCCAGAAGAATTGGGGGGGTTGCCACTCTGCATGGAAATGTGTAGGTTTACATGCATACTTGAGGTGTTGCACTGCAAATGCACCTCCGCTTTCTTGATAGTGTGGTTAATGCAAAGCGTCCTTTTTGTACAATTTTTCAAATCAGTATTTTTATGCACAGGCCCACATAAACTCTGGGAGGGATGAACTACTTGCATTGCCAGTAAGCAAAATGATAAAATAGTTGGCATGTTTCCCGGTACTAAGCTGTTGACCGGAACAAAAGCTGATGGTACTATACATTATAGTGGCGTCCCTTATGGTAACTGGTAAAATATATTTTAAGAAATGCTACTCTAATTAACGGCACTCATGAATTAGTTTATTAAAAATGTATTTGATTTTGGCTACTTCCTGTTTGTGTTTAAAAACCTACAGCAGCTTTTCTAGGCTTTGTTATTAACTTCATCTTCAAGAGCACACACATAGTTCTACCAAATGCTTGTTTTGTTTAAGAAGTTTTACTATGTTCACTTTTTCCTAAGGCGAATGCCCACACCTTTATCTGACTGTTCTCTGTGCCTTGGCACTTTGGATACCTTACTGTCCTTGCAAAGAGTTGCATTGAGTTTCGACATCATTTCTTATACTTGTAGAAACTTGTGGATGTAGAGCATGAAGAGATCGCTGAGCCTGTTATTTTACGAAAACGCCGTGCGGCTCAAGAGGAGAAAAATACGTGTCAGCTCTTTATTCAAACGGATCACCTGTTCTTTCAGCACTATGGTTCAAGAGAAGCTGTTATTGCCCAGGTATGAATCGGAAAATCAAATTATTCCAATTGGGAACTGTTCAATAATTCAAGGCCTCTGTGCACGTGCTCTGCACTGGGAAGTGCCGGCAGCAACTTGATGACCTGAAATGTGGCTTTTTTTCTTAGCATTTAGGAAGTAGTCGAAATCAACTGCAGGTCATAAGGGCACCCACCTTGTAAGCAAGCCTATGATATAAGTTAGCAGTTTATAACGGGTTCTCCTGTACTTGAGGCTTGGAATTGGAGATGTATTTAGAAGTGTGGGTATTGACTCCCAACTCGATCGCATTTGTCAAACTGATAGGAGAAACAATTGGGGTGGTTTAATAATCTCATCGCTTCCCTATCGGATATTTCCCGGTTTCAATACCAATGTTGTGGTCTCTGGCAGTTTTATAATAATTGGCTTCTGGAGACCATTTTTAGAAATGCTGGCTAAGATCCGGTCAAAGCACTTATTAATAAAGTCGATAACTGTTCAGTTCTATTTCCAAGTTAAAATGATTAGAGGTGCATTTCTTTGAGTTTTTAATTATTTTGTTCCCTGGCCCCGAACAATTCTTTGCTGTTTCTACTACAAGTGCACTCTATTAAATACTCCGCTGGGTTCCCCGCTTGTCACATTTGTTGAAGGGCTTGTTCAATTTTTGTAAGTGTGTGTTCAGTGCAGACCATCCCTTATTTATCTGCCTGTCATTTTCGGATAGCCTTCCTGGCATAAATTGAAGCAACATTATGACTAAAACACTATCCTCCCGAGTTCTGTGGGAACACTTCCGATCTGTCACTACACTTGTATATCTGGAATGACTGACCGTAAGCACGATAAAAGATCTCTGTAATTTGTTTACATTATCTGGTTGCGAATGCATCACTTATCCGCAGTAAAAGTTCCAATGCTGAATCAAGGTCTAAGAGACTGAGTGACTTTAGTGTCTAAACCGTCAATTTGGGAAGGAATGATTTTATTTGCAAATCTAGCATCTGAAGTTTTACTTCTAGCTTTGTCGATGACTCCTACCAAATGGCCATAAGGTGTTGCTGATACAATTTAGAGAAGCTTGGGGATTTTTAAAAATATTTTGGCACTTCCTAATAAAGGAAATTAGATTATCTAAATTCTATTTCTTTGGTGAGTTAATCATAATTTGACAGATGATAATAAAAACTTGTGCCATCTTACTCTCCAGCGGAACAACTACTTGTATTTATAGAGTGGCGTACATGCAGGGTAGTGTCTCAGTTTGCTTAACAATGGTGTAGTTTGACGTCAAAGGCCTTGTGAGACTAAATTTTAATGGGTAACAAGTTCCCTGTTATAAATGTTAATGCTTTGGCAACGTTTTGCTTTTGCACAGTCCATTAAGGGCTTTCAAAATATCTGGCCGCTTTATGATTATGGTTGGATGTTTAAGAGCTGGAAATAGAACTGCAATACTTGAGTGAAATAAATTCTCGCACGTTTCATCTTCAGATCTCCAGTCACGTGAAAGCAATCGACACGATATACCAGACAACAGATTTTATAGGAATCAGAAATATTAGTTTTATGGTGAAAAGAGTACGAGTAAGTACTGTTTTGCATTTTCTCGCAGATCTAACTTAGAAGACACTCTAGTTACTAATTTTGTATCTGGCTGTTTCAGGAAAATTTGCCATTGCNTTTTTTAGTCTCTGTGTCAGTATAGTTATTGTTTACTTGTATGTAACACCATTTGTTCTTCTTTCTGATTCGGTGAACAAATGTCAAATGCACTGGCACGTGCAAGGTTTGTCCATGGCATGTTGGTGCTTTGAAATTCAATTATTTTACAAACCAGCTGAAGTATTCCACCTGGAAATGGCTTTCCACAATGACCAAATGATGTGAAATGTACCCGAGTAAATGTGTAGAAATCTCCTGTGTGGTGTTCTCTGACATCAGGTTATTCTTTTCAGATCAATACCACAACTGACGAGAAAGATGGAAGCAATCCATTTAGGTTTGCAAACATCGGTGTAGAGAAATTCCTGGAGCTCAATTCAGAACAGAATCACGATGATTATTGCCTAGCCTACGTGTTTACAGATCGTGATTTTGATGATGGTGTCCTGGGACTGGCTTGGGTTGGTGCACCAGCAGGTAACTGTCTACAGGCCACGCTAGTCTCACCATTTGAGGGTTGTAGAATTGATTGGTAAAATCATGTCCTCAGTTGCCTCTACTATATTTTCTCTTTCAACTGTTTAGCTGATCAAAGTTTTATAGCTTGAAATTCGATCATTCAGTAGGCTAATGTCTTTATGCTGTGACATTTAACCTCAGAAAATGTATCAACATAGATGTCATATCCATAAAAAACAAAAGAAATCAGTGTTTATCCAATAAATCCTGGAAAACACTGTAAATGGTTACCTGTCCTGGTGTCAGCTGCGTATGTGTTACTCTTTCTCTGTTCGTCCATGTGCTCGGGTATATCTGAATTGTCTTATTGCAAGTGGTAATAATAATAATGCTTGCATTTGATATAGCGCCTTATCACGTCTTTGAGACGTCTCAAAGTGAAAGCCCAAATTTTTTTTAATTGCATTTAATTAAAATTCAAAAGTTTTTTAAAAATTAATAATTTAATTTTTAAAATTAATATTTTTTTAAACCCTGAAAAACAAGCCCTCCCTATAATATCTCATTTTACTTTTAAAAATTAGTGATGTCAGATGAAAATCAGTTTTTAAAAAATATCAGTCATACATTCTTGACCATATTTTCTCGTTTTTCCTCAATGAATCAATTCAGCTTGTTCTCCTAATACAAAATAAAAGCATTAAATGCTTTGCAAACTGCTACAGAGCAGCAAGCTCCCATAGTGGAAGTGGCTGGAATGCCTGAAACAACAGAAAGGAGCCAACAGCCTTTGTTAGATGATGTGCCAGAAGGAAAGAGACTAGACGACAACAGGGTCACATTTTAAGAACATTTAACTTTAATTAAAGATCGTAAAAGAACCAGGCAACTGAAGTTCTGGAAAATATAACAGGAAAGAAAACCAGAACTACTGAGGTATTGTAGAAGCAATTCACTTTGACACTTAGCAAAAAAGGAAAGAAAATACATTTACTGAACCTATCTAGACAATAGGAAACGTATTCCAATTTTACAAAGTTTACTGTAAATGTACCTAATGAGGGAGAGAAATGGATAATTACAGCCCCATGGAAATGGTCTTAATTTACATGGGTGATTTTTAGGGCATTTGGCATTATTGAAACTGGAAAAATTGTTTTTTCTATGGCTATCCAGTAAGTGTTCCTCAATTTTTTTTAAAAAAGGTGTAAAGTACAAAACAAAATCTAAGTGATAATTCAACTACAGTAATACTTTGTGATCAATATGTTTTTTTGGCACTTGAATAAAATTACTCCATATTAATAGCTTGTAATATTTTGGTGCTTATATACAGTGCAAAGCACAATTGTTTCCTCTGACTGTTATTTCTTGGTATCTTTGCACTTTGGAAAAAATAACTTTTTTAAAAAAAACTTTCCAATTCTCCCATCCTCTTGTTGCATGAGCCATCAGGCATTCGACATTTATTGAGGTCGTTGAGAAAGTGCCTGAGAAAGTATTATGAAACACTTCTGTTCCAACAAGAATTTTAACTGGATTATGATCTTGTTTAAACAATGCAATGAGCTGTGAAATGTTCAAGGATCTGTACTTTTTTCTCACATGCATTAGCAATATGCAAGAACAAGCTCTAATTCCTAAAGGACAGTAGATATGCTTGTAATGAAATATGCGAAGGCGTTTTAATCCTCAGTTCATTTCAGTAGTGAGACAACCATTTTGCCTCAATTCATGCTGAAAAGCTCCCTGCTTCCTACTTAATATGTTTACAGACAGGCAGGGAAGATGTTGGTTTACTAACATCCTGTACCATACATTATTCAACTGGAGAAATAATGATTACAATGCATGTATAATTATTCTGTTGAGGTGTGTTCCCTTAAGTTTGGTTTTAGTTTAAATTGATGTCGTTTATTCATTCTGTTTGTCTTTTAACATTTTTATTAGATTAAAAAAGATTAAAGCTGAGAGATTTTTTTTTCCTGAATGCCGTTTTTACATTCGGTGAGAATTACAGGTGAATGTTATGTTAACAATTTCTGTAGCTCACTTATTGAAAGCACAGATTCTGTTTCCCGAACCTAGGCAGCTCTGGAGGAATATGTGAGAAGAGCAAGCTTTATTCTGATGGAAAGAAGAAGTCGCTCAACACTGGAATTATCACTGTTCAGAACTATGGTTCCCACGTGCCTCCCAAAGTTTCCCACATCACATTTGCTCATGAAGTGGGTCACAACTTTGGCTCTCCTGTAAGTATTCAACCAGTGTAGTCCATTCCAAACAGAATTCAGATACTGGAGTAAATAACAACAACAAAATTACATTGTATAGCGCCTTTCACTTTGGGAGGACGTCCCAAGGCGCTGGACAGACAGAGTTTCGGAACCGAGCTGGGGGTCTGCTTCAGGGAGGGTGAAGGGCAGGAGAAAGCAGGGAGATCAAAAGCACGGTCGAAGAGGTGTGTCTTGAAGGAGGCGGAGGGACTGAGGGATGGAGTTCCAGAGGTTGGGTGCCCTTTAAACGTGGCTCACTCAGTACTTTAAACTATGATGCTATGCAAACTAATAAGAATGTAGCATTAGAATTAGAAAATAGTACACTAGGATTTGACTGTTTTTATTTGCTTGATTTTTACATTGTCTGCAGTGTAGAAGAATTGTATTTAATGTTCCTGCATTGAGCTTTAACCACCTTTTGTACTTATCACAGTGAACAAGGAATAGATTCTCTCTGACTATTTTGCAAGCTGTGAATGCTTCCAGTATACTATTGATGCTATTTTGTCTTCTCAGCATGACTCTGGCTTTGAATGCACCCCAGGAGAATCGAAAACTGGAGAACTGAAAGAAAGGGGCAATTTTATTATGTATGCACGAGCTACGTCTGGTGACAAGCAGAACAACAATAAATTTTCTCTCTGTAGTGTTCGAAACATCAGCCAGGTCCTTGAGAAGAAAAGAAACTCCTGTTTCGTTGGTAAGTACAGGACTTTGCAGAATTGGTAAAATTGATCCAAAAGCATTTCTTTTAAGTCTTTGGTATGTGATGTAATTCACTACCAGAAATGGTTATAGATTTCCCTCAGTAATACCATTGTGCTGTGCAGATAACTTGGTGATTTTAAAATTCATGTTTGAATTTGATATTCATCGACTATTCTAATGGTGCACTCGTGTTAACTTAATTTTCAGTTCCAACTTACCACATTGCGGAAATATAGGAGCAGGTATTGACTAGTTCTGGTATCTATATAGATCTGATTGATAATGTTTGCTTTTTTAAAATCAAAAATGGGCTGCAGTTCAATTGTCCATAAGGCCAGAATTCATGGTCAAGAGTTTGTTGTTAATTTAGAATTATTTTAAATGCAGAGTCTGGCAAACCCATCTGTGGCAATGGTTTGGTGGAAGAGGGGGAGCAATGCGATTGTGGTTACAATGATCAATGCAAGGATGAATGCTGTTACAATGCAAATGAGTCGGATGATAGGAAGTGCAAGCTAAAACCAGGCAAAAAGTGCAGGTAAGCACAACACCTTGTCTGGAGATTTTTGCTGTAATATTTAAGATGTTTGTGTTTAGTTCATTTCTCCTTTTGATCTCACAACATTACTGCTCTTTTTTAAAAAAAATTTGATTGAAAATTTATTGCCTTCAATTATGCTTTGATTCCAGTCCAAGTCAAGGACCTTGCTGTACTAAACAGTGCGTGTTCAAGCCCATCGCTGAGAAATGTCGCAATGACTCGGATTGCGCAATGGAAGGCAAATGTAATGGTGCAACTGCAACATGTCCGACATCTGATCCTAAACAGAACTTTACTCTCTGTAATAGGGGAACTCAAGTGTGCATCAAAGGGGTAAGGCATCCATTTGATACAACAGCAACAACTTGCATTTATATGGCACAGTTCACCCGGTGTAGCGTCTCGGAGTGCTTAACAGTGACGGACTGACATCGAGCCAGTGGGAGGGAGGAGGTGACTAAGCACAGTCGAAGAGGAAGGTCTGCAATCTAAAAGAGGGTTTGGGGGAGAGAGTTCCAAAGCTTCAAGGGGGTAGTGGCTGAAAGCGCGGCCGCCGATGATGCAGCGGAGGGGCCGAACGACAGAGTCAGATATAGAACCTCAATCTGAATGACTTTATTGAAAACAATGTGCTGTAAATTGTACTTTTTATTTTTACATTATTGTTGCATTTTAAACAGTTAATACAACAAGCCAAATGTTCCTGTTCTAAAACCAGCCGTCATATTGCATTTTGAGGCATGTAGCTCGAAGGCTCCTATTCTATTGAGTTTTTGCATCATTATTGATCCTCCCTCTGTACTTGGATTTTTGACTGCCTAGAAATTGCTTTTCATACTAGTGAAATGCCTTTCTTCCCCTTTAAAGCAATGCTCTGGATCTATCTGTGAAAAGTACCATCTTACTGAGTGTACTTGTACAAGCACTGAAGATGAGAAGGAGCTCTGTCACGTCTGTTGTATGGAGAGACGTAAGTTACATGTGCCATTTGGAAATCAATTCTAAGTTGTGATTGATACCACCTTACACTGCTTTAGTCTGATTCGAGTAGCTAAACTGTATCATTTTGTCACAGTATATATTGGAGTACCTGTACGTGCATTTTGAGGACACGCATTTTGTAACTGCAATGCCCACATCTCTGAGATCCCAATCTAGGGCATCGTAATACAAGATAACTCTGTTACATCATGCCTTGCTGTATTATGAGTTTAGTTGTAAAGTGATCGGATTGTGGATCCCAATTTTTCTCGTACCAGAAAGTCAGAGTGGCACCATTCCAAATCCTGTCTTTGCAAATTTAAGTCCCAACTTTCTGGGTCATCAGGCAGGACCAGGAAGTGACGACATGGAAGTCAGACAGTTTATCGTGTTTGGGCTGAGATCTTGGGCTGAGATTTTGAACTGAAATGACCGGGTTATAAAGGTATAAAGCTGTTTTGCACCTGGAAAATGTGTTACCAATTGCTTGATTGACGAACACTTGCGGATGGACCTGGTGTAGTCTGCATCAGGTCATACTGTGACAGATTTACCTCGGCACAAACTTTGCTTGTCTGATGTCGTCCTTCTGCTAATACAAAACCCCAAATGTATTCTAGCGTGCAGTTTGGGACAACACAATAAATGTATATGTGCTTCTAACCACATATTGTGCAACAATTTATCTTTTCCCAATGCATCTTTGCAGAACCACTAGGAACATGTTCCAGTACTGGTTCGGAAAAATGGCAGCATTTCTTCAATAATACCACCATCACTCTACAGCCTGGCTCACCCTGCAATGACTTTAAAGGCTACTGTGATGTTTTTAATCGATGCAGACTAGTTGATGCTGATGGTCCTTTGGCCAGGCTAAAGAAAGCAATTTTTAATCCAGAGCTTTATGAAAATATTGCTGAATGGATTGTGGTAAGTAATTTTGGTTGACATCGATGCAACAGTTTCACATCATGCCATTAAAAAATAATTAGCAAGCCTTTAATATAGCACCTTATCACATTGTGGAGACTTCTCAAAGCGCTTTACAGGACATACTGTAAAGTAGTTTGACTGTATTTTGTGGGCGAATACGGCAGCCAGTTGCGCCCAGCAATGTCCCACAATCAGCCGTGGTTGGAATGACCAATTTTATTTGAGGGATTGTTGGCCAGGACATTGGGAGAAACTACCTTCTCTTTTCAAATCGTGCCATGGGATTTTTAATGGATACCTGAATAGGTAGATGGGACCTTGGTTCATCAGATATCCAAAGTGCAGGTTTGAGCCCTCACAAGGTAGATAGCAGGTATCAGGAAATCCTTGAGTTTGTTTCCTGAGTTTGTGCAAACATTCATTCTCACATCTATTTGGAGAATCTCTTAATCAGAGGGAACATTTTGAATTGTTAAGATACACACAGGAAAGTCTTAGGTGACCTAAGCAACTGTCTTGGTTCAATCTTTGCTCGAGGTGTTGATTTGATTTAATGATGCCCTTGCCTCTGGGCCAGATTTCTGTATGGATTTGCTTTATCCAACTAAAAATTTTTGCTAAGCTTACCTGAAATTGCGGCAGTGTGCGTAATCCTGCTGTCTTTTCTTTTTTTCCAGGCTCACTGGTGGGCCGTACTTCTCATGGGAATTGCTTTGATAATGTTGATGGCTGGATTTATTAAAATCTGTAGTGTGCATACCCCAAGCAGTAACCCCAAACTGCCACCTCCAAAACCACTCCCAGGTGAGTACCATATAAATGCATTGCATTGGTCTGCAAGTACACCATACTTTTTTTTAAACTACAATGTGTATGGTTTAAATAAGTTTCATGCTCAGCACAGTAAGAATAATTCATGTAACCTAAATCTGTTATCAGTAGGACTCAAAAAAGCTATTTCTTAGCAGTATCTAGGATTATTGACAAGCATCCATGTATTGTATCCCATATTACCCCCAAGTTGTCTCGCACTTTGTAGTAAAAGGGATGTATGCCCACATGTGAGTATTGCTCCAAGCACTGTTGATGTTGCACTTGAGTTAAGTGGCAAATGAGTGGACTCCTAATGTTTCCCTTCCAACGGCTGACCTAGCAAAGCTTGTAGCATAGGGATAGCTGGAGCCCAGATATTGGTTTGGGGCTGAGAACTAATGAGTTGTTGTGATCCCAGACTCTTAGACACAATGTTAACCACTGATTCATCCTTCACCTGTGGTGTAGCTTATGATTTGCGTGTATATTTTCAGAATTTTTCTATGTTATTCGGGCATTTGAACATCATTCAACAGGGCAAGAGCTAAAAAGATTGACTAGTTAATTTTTATTTTTCTTTACCCGATTTCCCTCCTCTTGCCTCTCTTGCTCAATTAGATCCTTACCGGCTTCTTCATTGCTGCCTTGATTACTGGTATGTGAATGGCCTACAGGAGTTGTGCTTTATGATTGGGGGGATTGCTCTTGCTAGCTTTTCCTTCCAGTGACATGGAGCAATCTGCCATAAAGTACTCAATCTAGTAGTCTGGCTGAGAGCTATCTGAACTCTTTCATGAAGGGGAATTGAGTTCAAATATCACTCAAAATTGGACTTTTAACTCTCACCCTCTGAATGAAACTCCAATGCATCTTCGCTTAGTCGTTTTCACTTAGCCTACAACTTGCCATCCAATAGTTCCTGCTTTACCAGCAATTGTGTATCTCTTAGTGTCAGAAGGTGTTCATATTCACGTATTTCTTTATTGGGTTAAAGAGAAATCACCAAGTCATTTGTTTGTACGACTCATTTTTATGTAAAGTATTTTGACAATCCTATTCTCCGTGACATAATATCTAGTTGGAACTCCAATGCATTACTGCTCAGTTTTCGCTTAGTTTTTTTTAATTTGCCACTTTACTGAGCTCATACGGTTCAGTTTCAGTCAGATATTCATTTTTATTCTGCATCATTTTGAGGTGGTTCTGTATTGCAATTCCTCTGCGCAATAGAAATTGAATTTTACTTCATTGCACTGCATTTGACCAGGTTTTCTCTGTGCTTCTAATACCTCACTGTACTTGTCCTCTTTAATTCTATACAGCTTTAACACAAAATAGGTTTTTGCATCTCGCTGTACAGCGTCCTTGTATTAAAAAAAATCTATTGAATTAAGCTGTTGTACCCTAAGATCATAGCAACTCCATTTGTGTTCAAATATACTAATGCAACTGACTTTGGTTTCTAGTAATGAATGTTAAAATGCTCACCTCTAAGGTGATCTTATAATTAAAAAAAGATTTTTAAAATCTTCAATAAACAATGTAATGCTCGAGTTAAGATTATTGAGGGCGTTCAGAATTATTTGCTCAGCTATTCCTTCCTTTCACCACACTTAAGTATTTTGTTGGCATCATCAAATTAAAGGCAAGTTGTTGTATTTTAACATGACTAGTTAAGTGGTAGTTTAGAATGAATCCTTTAGTCTGCAGATTGGCTAGATTTGTGCTTCATTGCAAAAAGATTAACGGAAATGCATATAGAATAATGAATACCTGGGAGTGATTTACAAGGCTTTAACTAAAACTGGTCTCATCCTTTGACCTCCGCTATATATACATAATAACCTTGCTCCCTGATTTATTATTTTATATTGTGTATACTGTGTGGAATTTGACATTTGAAAGTTAGTTATTGAGAGTTTGCATTTCCTGTGATTTTTGAAGAACATTTGAGAGTTAGGGGAAAATGTTTTTGGAGGGCATTCCTGCAGGCTTACTGGAATATTTGCCATTGATTAGAGTGATTCCACGTGCAGTGTATATGTTCAGTAATGCTATAGCTTCTGAACCCAGTGGACAAAGCCAATAGCACAGAAGATGTGCAAGTGCCTCTAAACTGCTCTCTTTCTGCAGGCACGTTAAAGCGAAGACGATCACAGCCACAGCAGGCAAGTCAACCATCACGCCAGAGACCCAGAGAGAACTATCAGATGGGACTTATGAGACGTTAAACTGCAGCATTCGCCTTGGATCTTCCTAGTGCCTACAGCAGGAAATTTCGCTCCAAAGAAAACCTGTTCCTGTCATTGTCTCAAATCTGATAGAAAAGCTTTTAGGTCCTAACATTAGAGGGAATTGGATTACTTGTAATGGATGCAGTCTCCAACTCAAAATGGAGAAAACAAATCATCAGTGTCCCTTCTAATCTGTCTTAATTATCAGATCATGTTTGGATTTCATTAAATCATGTTTGGAAAGAAGGAACGTTTTTGTTGATGAGGTGTCACAAAGTCATGTGACAGAATTCTGCTCTTGTCCATTTTGTGTGTTTTTTTTTCCTCATTGCACAGAGGTGTGTTCCTGTAGATAAAGCTATTATTGCTGCCAATTTGAAGCTTTTATGTATGATAACCTCAGCAATTAGAATCTTGTTTGCCAACTTAACTTTTTTTTCCAAATATTGGCCTGTTTTTCTAATTCTGCTCCTTACATCCTTCTGCGATTGTATACAAAGTAACTTAATATGGAGTTAGCTTTGATGCATACATTTCTGCTGTTTTAAGAAATTGCTGTTTAATTGACACACTCAGGATAATGTAAGAAGTGAATAATTTAAAGAACTCTGAACATTGCAGTTGCAGCAGCTGTGAGATGGTTAAAATTATGAAATTCATCTTTTCAATTTGAATTCTGAATTGGCACCGTTTCTTCAATCGATACCAGTAATGAACGGCTGCTGAAGTGTACAGCTATTTAGACTCGATGCTCTGGTTTGGGAATATGGTAAGATATAGTGCATACAAGATTAATAAATTATGATTGTTTCAAATTTAGTGTAATAAAAAATTGGCTATTTGTTTTCATTATAAGGAATGTGGTCAGCTACTGTTTCCTCAATTTTGCCGGAAATTGGTGTGGGCGTGGCTGGTTAACATTCTCAGCTTTTTTATGTCGTGGGAAAGAAATGTGACAAATCGTTTTTTATATTTTGGATTTTAGGTTTGAGATTTGGGGTTATATTTTTTTTAAGCAGACTTGCGTGATATTCTAATGATTATAAAGGGCAACCACTGAAAGAGCAGTTGCTCAGCGTTGAAGAAGCAAATGCTTCTGTAGGAGGACTTTGAATATTTCTATTTACTAAGAGCTGAAACTGCTGAACTGCTGATTTTAAATACAATAAAATAAAAAAAAATGTTTACTTGGACATATTGGGGAAACAAAATACAAAATTGGTTGGTAGGCAGATGGGCCAAAAACACTAACAAAAGCATGATCTATTTTCCTCTTTTAAATAGTTTAAAAAAAACTTGTACAGTAGTCAGGAACATTTTTCAAAATACAACTTTTTGTACATTATTTAGAGTGAATTTTGTATTGCAAACCCAAAAGATAATTGTGTGCGATTCTACGAAATTCTGAATGATCTTAACAATTGGAAATAAAAGTTTCTTTTTACTTTTGAATCATTATTCTTCTGTTTTTACATTGTGCAGTCCAAGTGGGTTTGCGTTTCAAGCAACGACAGTGCTTCAGTGCTTTTCACAAGGGTCATTTAATAAAAACAAATCTAAGAGTGTTTGACATTTCATATGGTAATATTTTGCTTGTATTCTTATCCTGTGGTTAGGGCACAGGTAGTACTCCACTACCTGGCCCTTTTTTTATTTAAAATTTTAATAACGTCAACAAGAGATGTCCACTGAACCATATGTTTCCAGAATAGTTGTGGTAGAGATGAGGGATCCTCCAAAAAAGAAAAGTCTAATACTACTGTCACGTTAAATGTCCACTGTGTTTTATACAGTTTTTTTTTGTTCACTTGGAAGAATTTTTACTAAAAGTTGCAAAAAGTATTGTGCGAAGATATGTAAGTTTTTTTTCTTTTGAAGTACTTGAAATGCATTAATAAAGAATAGACTTGATCGACCAACTAAACGTCTTATCTTATTAATGTTGATGATATCAACCAAGAATTTCATGGGTTGTGCGCTACAGTGTTGAAAATGGAATGTTAATGGGAGATTTTATGTGAAGTTTTAAGAATTCTGTTTATTTGAATCAGTCTCGTGTGTTCCAGTTTTTTTATGATTGCTACTCGAATAACTTAAAACTGGAACGCCTTATCTGCCAGTGATTTTATTTTGTCTTCAGATACCTTCATACCTGATTTAGGCTTGGTATAGCTAGCTTTATCCATGCATGTTCTGATCAAGGATGTGTTCATTTTGTGCCACATTCACAAAAAAAACTTTATATTAAACATTGCACCCGAACCACAGATGTTGTTATTTTATATAGTTCGTGTGGGTGGAATGAAGCTGTTTCCATTGCACTGGCATTTAATTGGCCTGAACTGACCCCTACAAGTACGTCAAGGCAGGTTTGGCTCCTGACAGCAGAAATATTACATAACCTGCCACCAGGCATAGCCTTGTGGTTGAAATCCAGAGAGCTGGACTGAATCAGCTTAACTTTTAAAACAATTAAACTTTTCCGTCAAAAGCTTTCAAAAAGCTCACCAGTTCATCTTTTGCATTCAAGTACCTGGCAATTTATTCCAACCCAGTAAAGGAACAGTGCAAAGATGAAAATAGACATTTGTTGTCGTTGGCCTGGGCAAATAAAAACAATTTTTGAAAATGAACTTATTCCATCAATTCTCACGGCTGGTAGAGCAGAAAGAAACTGGGGAAATTGATATCTATTCAACATCGCTGCAATCAGAGTCCATTGCATTAGTGAAAGTTTTTAAAACCGAAATCTCTTCCAGCTTGAGCAGCAGAAAATGTAGCTTTCCTGGGAGCATGGAGTCAAATAATTATTGAGTGTGCATTAAATGCAATGCTGTTCTGTTGAATCACAGTGTTTTCTTTATTGGATATTATTACAAACCAAGTTGGTCACTCTCGAAACTTTGTTGCATCATATTTTGATAAAGATGATCCACAGAATATATAATGTGTTGTCATTTTAGGAGATACAATTCAATGTGAACAGAATTTCAAATGGGCAAACTTTTTATTGCTTGCTTCATGTTCATTCGGATTTGCTGATGATAACTGCTCATTGCCAGCAGCGTATAAATGTGATAATGCTTTCGCTCACAAACTGATCTGCTGTGCATCTTTGGACTCTAGGCCTCATCATCGATGGCCGAGCCTTCAGCAACTATACTCCCATCCTTTGGAACTCCCTCTGTCCCACTACTCTATCTTTAAATCCCATAAACTCACCTTTCTCCTCCCCCTGATCACTGTCCCTACTAATGTGAAGTGCTCTTAGACTTTATCCTATTTATTTGGAAATAGTTATTCTTATTTTGCATTATTTTAATAATTAATCTTATTTGATTTATTACAAAGTGAAATGTGCTTTCACACATATAATGAACATCTTTTGACAAAGCAACAAACTGATACCACCCATTTGTTCTTAATCTTCGGAATCTCTTGCCAGCTGTTTCCATAATAGTGAACTACTATTGTGCAAAACATTTTAAATCCATTTAGGTAAACTTTTTAAGATATTTCTCCAGCATTTATAGCTTTGGTTAATACTGCATAGCCAACCTCTTCAGTCTAATTTGATTAAATTGTCAGCCCTTTGTAGTTTTTTTTTAAAAAAACACAAATGTTTCAAATCACTTTAGTCTAAATTTTTGTTCCATTCCTCAACCTTCTGTTTTGCCTGCTGCCTCGGTCTCCTTTGCACTTGATGAATATTTTCTCCATGGCTGGTTGAAGATTCATATTGGCGGTGTTTAGGGAGCAGAATGTAACTCTGTAGCAAAATTAGAAAGCAAAGTTAATGTGGGCCAATTCCATCCATAACTATTCACGGGTATTAATGAGGCTATGGGATTTTTAGTCACTATCATTTTAATTTGATTATTTTGTAAACTTTAATTGTTCAATTGCATTTTTAATTGTGAATCTCCTGTGTTTCATTTGATTAATGCTGCTAAATAATGTGACAAGCTTGTTGTTATAACGAAGAGTTTGGATTATCCTCACAATATTCATCCTTGCCAAACAAAGCATCCTAGGAGGTACAATCTGGGAAATTTTAAGAATTTTTTTAAAAAAGCCAAAACATAAATTAAATGTTAATCAAAACTATGAAAGGAAATAACAAACATATCTACAATTTAATAAAGGCTTCAGTTTCAAGGTAAAATTTGATCAGCCAGCCTCTATTATGCTGTGTCGTATCTGAGTTAAAGATACTGAGGTCTTAAGTATTGTTCTGAGTTTGTGAGCAAGTTTAGTGGCAGCACTAAGCAATACAATTGGCTTCAATGCCTCAGATTCGGGAGAGGAAAATCAAGACTGTTCTCAATCTTGAATTGCTATCCCTCCTGGAGGTAACATGTGAATATCAGGTGAGAAAAAGATAAGATTTCTGCAATGTCCCCATCGATGCTAAATGTTAGTTAATGATCAATGGTAACCAGTATGTGGAACTGTCTTAGTCGAAGGAAAACACAGAAAAATGCCTTGGGCAAAAAAAAAAGGCTCATTTTCCTTAAACCACGGCACGTTAATGATGTAAGTTTTTCAAAATCCGGCACTTACTTATGTTGTGTTTCTCCTGCTTTGACTCGTATTTTTCTCACAATAAGCTCTGGGTTTATATCTCCCTGTCTCCAAGGAAAGTACGTTTTAACAGTGTTCCAAAGGTTGGTCCAAGCAGCGGAATTTTCCCACTTGAACTTGAGCATCATCAAATCCCCAATATTGATGTCGGTATAAATCAGAAAGGTGTAGGTTTTGTTCGGAGTGATGCTTTCAAACCTGAAACGGGATCGGAATTATATCAGTTTGTATCTTTGTACACAGTTATTTTTTGTTGGCTCCCAAAAGGCTAGGTTCTGAAATATTCTGTAAGAACAGGCAATGAGGAAAGTGTCTCGATGTTCCTTCGGGCTGGTTTGTCTATGGATAAACAACGCCTATAATAACTACTCACCTATGTTGATTTTAAATTACTTTTTTTTAAATTACATTTGCCCCACTCTATGGATCTAAGTGTTCTGCATGTCGTGAGGCAAAGTGTACAGCAGCATTGGTGGAATAATATGAGGAAAGGCTTTCCCCTCTTCCCCACCACCCCACCCAGTACATTCAGTAATGAATATTGATGGTATTTATCTGGTTAGAGACTAAGATTAGGCTTGTTGAGTGCTTGCTGTTTCCCTTCTGGCAGTGTGGTGAATTGTGACCAGTGCCTTGCCCAAGAAGGTAGAAATTCTGAGTAATATTCAGGAAATGTAGCTCATGTTCACCACATCCTCCCTAATCATAAGAGACATACAAAATGGAGGAGGAGGGAGGGGGCATTACAATTGGTTTGCTTCTCCTTGCTCTTACCACAAGTTTCTTTCCTCACCAAACAAAGCTACAAAGAACACTGGGAGGCATGGATTGGATTCCCTCCTATTTCTCACCCAAGATGAAACATTCAGGGTTAGGTGACGATTGTTCCTATGGCTTGCTCTCTTCCTCACTGGTAATATCAACACAAATTGGGTTTGGATTCACACCTTGCTGTATGTGGGGTTTTGTTTGGTATAGAAACATAGCAGTTTGGTTAGCCGATGGTGTAAAATATCTGCTGTTCAGGAGTTAACAAACTCTTGTTGCTACAAGGTTGACAAATGTAGTTTTGAACCATGTAGTAGTTTCCTGGAGGTGTTTTCTGTGTGGCTCTGCTATCTGCAATATTCATGCCTATACAGATTGAAACTGAAGCACTGTCAATGGGTATATGGTGAGGCAGCCATAAAATATTAATAATCACGATAATCCTTGGATTTTTGGTATAGTGCCTTATATCTTTGAGACATCTCAAAGCGCTTCACAGAATATACTGTAAAGTGAATTGACTGTATAATTTGTGGGCCAAACGTGGCAGCCAAATGGGCCCAACAAAAAGCTTTTTGAGGGGTAATTTTGAGATGCACAAATCACCGACTAATATCTTTATTTGATGAAGGTAAAGCATTGCGAAGCACAAAAGGAAAAATCAAACAATCAATAAAACCCTCACCCTTATTGACCATGGAAAGATTGAACAAATATGTACATTTCTGGTGTCTGTAGAGACACTGCTGCTAAAAACAGGTTCCTGTTAACAACCTACAAAACCCATGTAGTTGAAAATTAGACCGGATTAAGTTAATCTTCTGCCCATTTTTTTCCCCTCTGCAGTGAAGTGACACTGCCGACTGACAAAGCTGTGAATTTTCTTCCCACTGCATGTGCCTTCTGTTTTACATTCTCTTCAGATGCTGTAACTGTGCTAATTAATCTGGATTCACTCAGCAGGTGAATCATCACCAGGGCTACAATTTTTAAAAGTTGATTTAATGTTCATCTTTACCACTGTAAGCAGCTTGATGTTTTACCTGTTTATAAACACAATCACATTTAATTGGCACCTGTTATTTTAGAGAGGTTGAGGCAATCTAGAGGCTGTCCTCCCATGTCTTAAAATTGGCTATTTTGCAAAGGATGTGTTACCACCTGCATTGGGAGAACTGAAAATGGCTTCTCAGCCCCAGCTCGGGTGCCAAACCATGATTGTCAAGCGCGATGGAACATCCTCCCAATGCGAAAGGCATTAATACAAATGTAAATTTGTATTGTGCATTTATGTCGTGCCTTTCACATCACGAGGATATCTTTTTTTCATTTGTTTTGCTTATGAACACGTGAGTAATGTGCTAGAAATAAACTGTGTAATTTATTCTGTTAATACCTTTCCATTTTAAATAGTATATTTTTCCAATTTGGTGACACGTGTGAGCTTTTTGTCAGGCCCTGGCTTGCCGCAGACTAGCAACAAAAGTGAGGTAGATGATTGAGAAAATATCTATTACTATCTTATGCTGCGAATTTGCCCTTGTTATGTGAAACCCTACAGAAACACATTTAAATAAAGTGTTGCAGTGGTTGGATTCATTTGTGCGCTTGCATTCCTCAACCTTAGGGTTTCAGGGCAGATTGTCTCAGCCTTTATTCACAATGCCATCATTTGCTGAGCTTCTGCCAAAGAGCAGCGTGAAGCAGGTGGCAGCTTAACACTCGTGAGCTATTGCAAATGTAATTCCAACTGTACATGCTGGGTTCACACCAGTAGTTCATGGGTGTCAGTGCAGAAATCACTTTAAAACATTTACTCCTCTGTCCCCATTTATATTACAGTTCAACTTATAATGAGCTTTGATTCTGCTGTATCTTCCCTTCAATTCACTTTTTAGAATCTTGTTGCACCAAATACCTTCTCTCTCACCTTAAAACAAATCTATCATCTCTACTCTCTTTCAAATGCCCTCTTGATTTCTCAATGCGTCTCATTATACCCATATGGATTCTCGCTTGGTATCCCAGTTTCTTTTCCCTTTAGAGCTGTCTGACAGAGAGACTGGCCCGTATACTAATACACAGTGACAACTGTGCACTCTGTTGGAGCCCCAGGGGATCATATCACAAGATAATTCAAATCATGCCATCTGATCTGACCGGTGCCTCTTCAGTCAATCGTTTATGCTTTTTGTATAGTGGGTGGCATAACAACAGGGTTTAGCCAGAGGCAACAAGATAGTCAGGATAGACATCTCCTGAATTTGATCTTGGAAACAGGTGGATTTGGATGAATTCTACTGGGGTACAATTACTATGTGCTGCGCAACCAAGATTATGGAAAAACCTTCGTACGCTTCTGTATATACCAGCATGCCATGACTATCGACTTACTTTGCCATTGGGAAAAAGCAGTTTTAAAGCACATAACACTTTGAAGCTCCTCAATATCAGAATCTGTGTGTCCCGTGTGAAGTGTAATTTACAAAGTTCTTTTTTTTTTGTACAAAAAGCCAAGGAAGCATATAAATGTTATGTTCAATTCAGAAAATATGATTTGCCTTTGGAAGCAATCGATGAGATTCATTTAATTTTAGATGCCAGAAACGCGTTGATGCCTTAACAGTAAAACCGGCTTTATATTAAATGGGTCATAGGATTTTTGGATATCAATTTATTTACTGGTGTAAAACTGTAGTACTCACAATCTGACTGGTAGGTTTTCACTATCGCCTTTGGTTCCATAGAGGGAAACGGTCAGAGAAGGCTCCAGTTTCCTGTGTTCTATCTGGTTGATGAAGCGAATCTTGAATTGATAGTGATAAACTGCGAGAAAAGAGACAGAATTTAATTTTAAAGCTCAATACAGTTTATCTAAAACCATAGCTCTAACTCCTTCTCATTCCTAAAATTCCACCTGTCCTTATCAGTAAAACTATTTTGTCAGATGATAATAATAATAATAATAATAATAATCCATGCATTTGATATAGCGTTCTTCACGTCGGGAGGACGTCCCAAAGCGCTTCACAGAATATACTGTAAGGTGAATTGACTACATATTTGTGGGCGAACGCGGCAGCCAATTGCGCACAGCAATGTCCCACAAGCAGTCGTAGATTGAAAATGACCAATTTATATATTATTGTTTTTTGGTTTTGGAGGGATTATTATTAGGCGTGTGGAGTGAGGAAACTTGCCCAAGGTTTCGTCCTGACCTGGAATTGAACTCAGGTCTCTCGCTTGGAGAGTCTGCCGAGTTTTGGGGGCAAAAATCAATCCACTTTTGCATATATTCCGCAAAGCACTTTGAGATGTTTCAACGACGTGATATTTCTGTGCGATCTTAAAATTTAAGACAGGAATGGTCTTGCAGCTAAGTCTAGGTAGAATGTTAGGACCCCTAGCTGTTGAATTAAATGCATTTTAGCATTTCTATGTGCATGTATGTGTGAATTTTCTTTTAGATTTTCAGAGTGAGCCATTATAAATCATAATCCAGAAACTGTACCCCAAATAAACCAAACATTAGAAGAGAGACAAAAGAGAAACAAATGCGTACGGTGAGAGAAAAAATAAATTGAGGAATGTATAAAGGAAATGGATATGGTCGGTAATCTGAATTTGAACCAGGAATGGTTTCTTTGTGGAACGGGATACAATTTGACTGAATACCTTTAAAAGGCATGTTGGCACGAGTCTTCAGGTACATTTTCTTACTCCTTTGAGTGCGGACTTTTTTAATATTGTAACCCAATGTGTTGCATCGATTCTTTCTGCAGCTCAGACATACTCCCTTATTAAATGTGTTCAAGTCGTTGCACCAGTATGCAACACTTTGCTTGTCTTCGTTCAGCAGAGAATCAATGAACAAGTGTACAGACCTCTCGTGAGCACACTTCACAGTCTGTGTGATACCTGCGTGACAGGAAAGGAAGTTGGTGATTGATTTAATAACATGATGTACAGTTGCATGTCTGGAAATATTTGAGGTGGGTAACATGTGTTGAACCTGGGAAGATGGATGACAGAACCATAATGTAGATTAACTCAGAAATGGGAAGCTACCCATGTTCCAATATTCATCATCTTACATCCACCTACATTAATATCCATCTGCCATTCCTCAGCCCATCTGTTTAATTGATGCAAATCTTCCTGAATGCTAGGTATCTTCCTTACATTATTTACTAGCCCACATCATAAGGGAAGTTTAAACATCAAAAGGAAATGCTTACAGACAGGGTCTGCAATAATTAGGTAATGAATTACGCCTTTTGTAAATCGCTTTGAGATATTACCCCATGTGAACATTGTGTATTTGCACATGTTGTTTGTTGCCTTTTTTCAGAAATCACAAGCAACTGTTGTTGAAATTATAAAATGAACATAAATTAATGCCCATTGAATATTCTCAAATGGAAACTCTTTGAATCCCGTTTGCGAAATGGCAACTTAGATTCCACTGATGGACTGATTGGGCTCTTTCTGTGCTGTAATTTCTGGGTTAGCTTTTCTGCTGTTTATGTCCATCAATAGGCAAATGTTTGAGAAGGTTTCTCAGATGCCAAATCATACCTAGAATTCCATACTCAGCGATATGTTTGTACATGTGTTTGAAGTAGCAGCCAGGCTGGAAGGTGCCTCCGTTGGGGTAGAAATCGTAATGGGCTACAGTCTGCTGGATTCCGACACTCAGCCCCATGTGTCCATGTGTAAAGGTGTGAAGCGCGTCAACAAAATCTGCATCATCGGGAGACAGACGGTGGTTTGAAGGTACACCTTCGAACAGTGGCCCAGCTGGGTCGAGACCTGTAGATTTAAAACCAAGTAACAGATTCAAACTTGCACAGTCTAAGTGGGTTGGTCTTTGAGCCATTGTCCACAGGACGCGAAGGTGATTTCATCTGTTTTACGGGTATTTGGTATTCCTTGAATCCCACCTGTTATCCTTGAGATTTTGGTGGATCCACTGATATAATTTCCCGCGAATCCAGAAACATGAGCGCCTAAGCTGTATCCGATCAGATGTACTTTTCCCTTTGAAAGCTGATGAAATTCCTGGGAATGTGAAAGAATAGGACAGGTCCACACACTTTATTGAAAGTTAAAATGGGAACAGATATTCTATACAGTGGGAGGTAATTGGAAGCAGTTGAGGCCTTAAATGCCTGGATCAGACTAACGGCAGGATAAGAGGAACGTTTTTCCTAAATTGGGCGCGAGTTCTAGCCTCTACCAGCAAGCGATGTGTCTGTTTACCTCAGGTTAATGTAATCAGGATGATCTAGTACCATCATGATGTGCTTTGTTATTTTCCTCTCCTCGAACATAGGAAAAAGCTGAAGAGGGGATGTTTAACACCTTGGCACATTCTGTCCATGTGAAAGGCGCTATGTTAATTTGTATTGTTTTGGTTTTATATTGTATTGTTGTCTAGGATTGAATCACACCAGTCAGAGAGGGTTGAGTGTTACTCTGCTGGAATTTCAAGCAGATCCCTCAATCCCCAGGCAATCTTGTGTTTGGGCTGTGGAACATGAAATTACAAGATCACAGTAATAACCCTCGCATTTAATATAGTACCTTATCACGTCTTTGACACGTCTCAAAGCGCTTCACAGAATATACCGTAAAGTGAATTGACTGTATATTTTGTGGGCGAAAGAGAGGTTCAGATGAAGAAGGCCCTTTGGCCTGTTTAATCTCATCCTTCCAGAACACCCCCACTTTACCATCTTCCCACTATAGCATTGAACTGTTTATCATACGAGTCGAGCGAGCTGGTCACAAAACACATGTATGCAAAGAAACATGGTGCTGAGAGCCAAAGTTGAAGCACGCTTACCTCCAGCCAGTCTAAGAAGTTTGCGATCGCCTGGCCAACTCTCTGTGTATTTTTTACTGCTACTGGGTAATGCTGATGTGCCAGCAAAAGCCAATCGACTATAATCACATTGACATCTCTTTGTCTTATCTTCAGGGCCGCTGCCATCTTCCAAATCCAGTTTTCTAACATCCCATCAAGCTGAAGAAGCAAAGCACACAGACAGAGATTTTCCTCGGCTCTGCCACTGCTGCCTCTAAATGTTAAACGCACCAGCGCCAATGTGCGCACTATCCTCAATAAGCTCCACTAATGATCCTTTCTCAAAGTGGTCCATTAGCCGGGAAACAATTTAGAAAACTTAAAATGTCCCACGTTTTCCTTTAAGGCTCATCACGCTGAGGGTTCTCAGTACTGAGGAATGAAAACACCCAATTTTTTGGGTGTCAGCCGGGTGGGTGTCTGACCCATGTGGAAACCCATCACTATGCTTAAGAATTCCATGCATTCCACCTACACATGGAAATCCCAGCGATAATTACACTTTCTCCCTGGAGGGACGTATCCTGTTAACACAAATTCCTCCCTTTTCAGTTATAGCATAGAAATCAGTTTTCACAGCCCAGACAAGAGCCATTCAGCTCGTTGCATCTGTGCTGGTGCTGGTGATTTCTTAAGTGCGTGTGTGCAGACTGGTGGGTGGATTACGGCTCTATAAAATGAAAATCTTTCGTGCAATATAAGGAAGGACATAAATCGTACCGTCCAGCCATGAATGATCATCACTACAGGAGAGGAGGTGTTGAAGTTGCACGCTTCAAGTGTCTTTGACTGCTGAGGGAGAATACGACACATCTCACCAATAAATGTGTGCCCCTTGTAAAGCTGGAACTTAGTGATTGGATCATGTGGTGTTCTTTTCAAAGGAGGTTGTTCCGTTGCAATATCTAGGAAGATTGAGCACATTGCTGATTCATCCGAAACCCAAGTGAAAGACAATGCAACATGTATTGCTTGCATATTGTTTCTGCAAGGTTTGGGATTTTATTTGTGAGTGTTCTCCGCAGCCCAGGCTTACAAATGTCACAGCCAATTTAACCTTGGATTGTTTGTTCTCAAAGAGTCAATCAAAGCATCCAACACTTCAGACCTTCAAAAAAAAATGAAACATCCTTTGTACTTTTTTCTCCATATGGTTTTTATTTGCATTTCTATGTTTTGTGCCGATTTCAGTCCTTTTTTTTTGTTGAGTATTTTTTGTGTGAAAAGTATAATCAACTAAGCTGAATTTGCTCAAACCAATTATTAAGTGATCATGATTTAGAGCAGAGCACAGAATACTATACTGTTACTGGGATGGACTTTATGAATATTATTATTATGGAGTCCTATAGCTCAGTGGTTAGAACACTCACCTTGCAAACAAGATACCCGGGTTCAATTCCAGGCAGGGCGAAACCTTGGGCAAGTTTCCTTACTCCACATGCCTAATAATAATCCCTCCAAAACAAAACAATAATAAATTGCTCATTTTCAATCCACGACTGTTTGTGGGACGCTGCTGTGCGCAATTGGCTGCTGTGTTTCGCCCACAAATGTATGGTCAATTCACTTTACAGCATATTTTGTGAAGCGCTTTGAGACATCTAGAAGACGTGAAAAGCGCTATACCAAATGCAAGGATTATTATTATATATGATGTATTTATTATTATATTATTATTTGTTCATCACCTTAGTTTTGTACGTCTGGATCATGGGGACGTTTCCAAAGGCATAGGTTCAACCTCCATAAGGGTGCTCCATTGGCATTGACCAACCTATCTCTTCAAGTGTGCGTAGGGTCACCTCTCCTTCCCACTTCCCCCTTGCTCAGTGTCCAACCTCATCACCATGAAGTGCCCCAAGATGCTACATGTGTGAAGGACACTTTTATAACTTCAAGTTGTTGTTGTTTTTCTTACAGCGGGTGAAAAATGTGATGCTTCATAACTGGTTAAATCTGATGTTTGTCACATCAAATGGGTTATGAAACAAGGCATTTTTTACCCCGACATATGTAAAGAAGCACATAAAGCTCTGACTTCTGCATCATTTAAATACTAGGAGTGCGAGTAGCTGAATGAAATATTTGGAAGAGCCAAAGGTATGAGCAGGGATCTGTAGCTTGTTCTGCCATCTGTCTGCACTGTTGACTAATATATCACTGCCAAAATGTTGTTGTACACCTTAAAATATTTTATCCCTGGTGCCAAACCACATTCCTGTGATTAAATCTCTAAATAACAGTATGAACATGTTCAGATGTGCCTTAGCACAATCCTGCTCCATTTTCACATTTCCTATCATGAATATTCCATGCATCTACAACATCCTGTAATTGTGGAGAGGGTGTTGAGATATCTTGTTATAGATGTCACATTTGTGGTAAATGTGAGCACTGAGACATAGAAATTATAAATCACCTCCTTGGGAAACTGGGACTGGAAAGTGCAGTGTCAGTTTGATATCAATTAAACCATAAGCCGTTTTACCCTTGGCCTAAGTGCTAATACTTTATCGTTGGGTTAAAAGTAGAATTCATATCACAGCAGCAGATCTGGGTGAAGGACATGCTTTGATCTGCAGAAGGGAATGTCAGTTTTACTTAATTTGAGTTCTGCAGTAGTTGCCATGTGAAGCTATCTGCAAACAAAATGGCGTGACAGTGAGAAACCACACTGTTTACTGTATCAAAGGTCGACAAGGCATAGGGCAGTCAGATGGAAATGAGTGACTGATGTAACACTGAACATGACTGACTGTCAAATGCCTGAAGTCAGATACAATAAAAAGCTCAAGTCAATAAAAGTTTCCAAACCGGTCATTTTCCAATTAGTGTCTCATAGGGATATTAAGGCTGTACATTTATTGTGAAGTTGCCTATTTTGCCCATTCTTTCTCCAACCCTAACAAAACCAATGAACCTGGGAAACCTCCTCATTGACTCACAATTCAATAGCTGCAAATATATTCTGCCATCGGAAATTTGCTTCCAACCAATGAGCTATATTAAAACCGCAATTAAGGGCTACTTCTTCCAAACAGCCCAGCTGACAAGACTTCAAACAGTTTCCCTGCTGGTTCTGTAACCTTTCCCCTCCCTCTTGTGTTTTTGATTGTGAAGCATTTTGGCTCACAACGGGCCATGACTCTTCACCTTGTTTCTCAATAAAGAGAAATATTCTCATATGACAGACGAGTTGCTCTGCTCTATCATGAACAATCGCTTCAGCATAGTACTTAAAAAGGGAAAATGTGCAAGGCTATGGGGTAAGAGCGGGGAGTGGGAACTGGTTGGGTAGCTCTTTCAAAGAGCAGGCACAGGCACGATGGGCTGAATGGCCTCCTTCTGTGCTGTAAGATTCTATGATGTACTGTGATCACATGGAGCCCCCTGCTCAAAAGACGCAGTTACTTATTCAATATTTAGAACTGATCCATACATGATCGTTTTATACATGGCAGAAATTTGATCTTAAGCTTTTCTTTAATAGAACACAACATAGTTCTTTGAATGTTGAATTATTGGTGCACCATGTCTTGTCTCATCCCCCTCCCGACCCCAGCAGGCGAACTTTCAGCCACATTGCCTCTACGCCCCCCCAACCCCATCTCCAATTCTCTGCCTAAATGTTTCCACTTGGCACTCTTCCTCCCTGCTTTTGAATCCCATTTAAAAACCAATCATAGACCTCACTTTGGGCTACCCCCTAATTTCACCATCTCCCAGGCTCCCCTTCCATCTCTGCAGAGCACGTTTGAAACATTTCCCTGTGTGTAAGGTGCTATTATATGAATGTAACTAGGCATCTCTTTTGTTGAGCGTCAGACACGTAGAGCACAGAAATGAAATGGGGAGATAATAGAACCTTCCTCTTAATCAAATCTTGGTCATATTTAATTTGTCCTCAAATCCTGTGTCTGCCAACTATTTACATTCACTTTAATCCCTTATTAACTGCTAATCTTCGGTAGTCTTCCAGCATCCTAATGTGTGCCGGTGATAACTTTTATAAATCAGACTTTATTACTTTCCTGCCACCCTCGAGACTCCCAGTCCCGCACTCAATCCTCTCATAACGTGTTAATGAGAAAAAGGTGATAAATAGCGGAGATGTCACAATCAGCCTTGAAATATAATAAATAACTCCACAAGTGGGGTAGCAAGTTTGGCTCACAAATGACAAAGTTGAGAATTAATTATTTTCAACCTCACAAGGTGAGAGATTCATCATTTTGTACTTACTGGCCAGGACATATTTTATTCGTTCCGTGTGACTCGAATAGAATTCTCAAACTATTTTTTTATATGACATCTCAAGTGTGGGAACGAAAAGCCCTGAACATCACAATCGATGTGGTCCCATTTGGTGACACTATCTGCAGGCGTGGGGTCTATTTCCATCACGTTTGCAGATGACACCCAACTCTTTGCCTCTTGAATCCAGGATTAATGCTGTTCTGACGTTGGCAATGGTGAAATGGTTTGCTCTTTCACCCCAGTGGGATCGGACGCTGATGGTGAGCATTTCGGTACGCAGCTTACAATGGGAGGCATCAGAGTCCAGTAAGCTTTCCCAAATTAAAACTGAACTTCAAGAATTTTTCTGAATTCTGCACAATCTTAAATTTTAAGATAACAACAACTTGCATCACGTAGGATAATGCCTTGGATAATGGTTTTAAGGCTGAAATCATGAGAAATTTGGGGCGCAAGGTTTCTACTCATATATTTACACTGCAAGCAAGTGTTCAGTAGCCTCTCAAGGGATAGCTTTCATGTCAGTGCAAGTTTGGAGTGTTAAATTCAAGGTGTTTATACTGTGCAATCAATGTGTTGCCACGTCTATAAATATACTGTTTTTGGTCTAACATGAGAATAACAGGTTACTGACCATAAGGGCACTCGGTCTGCGAGCATTACAAATCCCCTCGTTTATTGAGCATAAACTTATAGTGGTTTGGAAGCATTGACCACAAGCATACATTATTTTCAGGGCATTGCAATCCAAACATGGCAAAGCAGCGCTGAGCTTCGGAGCACTCGCTAATTCCTAGTGCGTTAGAAGTTGGGACAAATCCAGGCTCACCCAGATACAGTCTGTTCATAACGTAGAGAAACAATGGGAAATTGGAAAGATTCACACTCTCTGGTACGTGGCAGTGGTCAGCGAGCGCTGGTGGCAATCTGGGACCAGGATGTTTTGCCCGCTCAGCCACAGAGGCAGCAGGCTGGGACCATAGGAACATCCTGTCGAGCCTGTTCCACCATTCTATTATATCATGGCTCATTTCCAATTAGAGTGAAGATACGGGATAAATTGAGGAACAAAAACAGCAGCAAATAAATGGGGGGGGGGATGGAATCGAACAGCTCGCTCTGAGGTTTGGTGCAGACTCGATGAGTCAAATGGCCACCTTCCGCGCTTTTGAACATCTACGGTTTTAAGGCAGAGCACACATTCTAAACGTAATGAGAAACAGCAAATATCAAAAGAGACCTCCGGATGAATAAAATGAGCAAAAGAAATAATTCATCCACATGAGCCCGCTAACAGAAAGCTCCGCAGAGCAATTACCGAGATAGAATCTCCATCATTGACTTGCGTCACCAAACAGTTCTTGGTGCGCTTGAAGATATATTGCCGAGATGCTGTTGTGAATCATTTAAAAGGCTCATTGTTGAGGTTCTGGAGATTGCACGACAGATGCAGTTTTGGAACAGACAGATCTGAAACCTCACTTGCGGCTGGTCTGGTTAAATAATATACCGTTCACAAAACATACAGTCACCCCACTTTACAATATATCCCGGGCTGCACTTTGGAGATGCTATATCATCTTTGCTGGCACAAATAGCTAGNTTTTTTTAAAAGAAGAGTCACTATACTTGACAGCAATTACCCACGAGGCAACGTTTGACACGATAAGGTGGTATCAGAATACAAGCGGATCCTGTCAACAACAAACATGTAATACACTGTGCGCGTCTTATGCTCAATAACATTTTGGTAATAATCTAAATGAATCGAATCGTTTTCCTGATGTAGATCTTTATGAGACGTTAATGAGTTAAAACGCACGTCCCCATTCCTTTACCTGTTGTCTGTGGCCGTGCAGTTTGGATGTTCAGAGAGACACAGATGAGCAGAAGGAGACGCACTTTCCCTAAGTGATTCATATCCAGGCTCGTTGCTTGATGGGCTGTGCATGAACCTCGGCGGAGAGACCTCAGGGGACTGGGAGTTAGACGAGTTTTTCTCTCCCATTTATTCCTGAAGGTCATGAACTGCCCAGCAGTAGAAGGACTGGGCTGCCCTTAGTACTGATAACAGCAGTGAAACGCAAAGGTTGCGAAAGGACAACACACACAAAACTTATCAAGGAGGGCGACAAGGCTGAAACTCGACTCCACGTCTCACCAAATAAAGTCAATCCAAAATAATTGTGCTGTTAATGATGTTAGGCGAAGTCTTTGGAAGGTGTTTATACTCCACCACGAGACTTCATCCATTGATTACTTCCTCCCATATCCTCCTATTCCCCTCTCCCTCATGTCAATCCCCAGTTTCTTCTTGAATGCATTTAAACTCTCTACTTAAACCACCGATTCAGGCAGTGAGTTCCACCATCTCGCTACCCGCTGCGTGAAGTAGTCCCTCCTAAATTCTCTTTTTGATCCCCTAGTCCCTTTTCTGAGGGATGCAGACTTTTATGTTGCTCCCTATCTTTTAAAGCCTCAACCATTTCATCCCAGTGTGTGTGTGTGTGTGTGTGTAAACCGCATGGCCAATTCTGCTGTTTTTGTTGTGCTCGGACAGATGTACGAACAACAAATGGATGTTATCATCTGAATAACAAGATGTAGTTTTACTGCATAGTACTTAGCCAACTTAGANTTTTTTACGAAAAAATCTGATGTCATTAATAATAATTTAATATTAATACCACATGGCTGTCCACCTCCACTGGGAAGTGTTGATGCAGAGATACTGCCTGTATAACATTCAGCAAGTGCAACAACCGTTTAACAAGCAACGCAGCTATGACAGAGCGATCAATAATGTGACGAGCGACAAAGCAATCACAGGCATTCTGTTGATAACACTTGTTTTATATATTTAATTAGTGCTGTTGGCTGCTTATTCAATCTGGAAATGGGAGAATTTAACCAGAGAATTGAACCACTACTTTATTGCGACCTTAGAAATGCCATCGATGTACAATCTCAGCATTTATAGAATCGAACGTGACCGCAGACTCATTCTGGAAAAAGTTATACATTTGTTGTGCCTTTTGTGATACTGCAGCCAGAACTGCATCCAGCTAGAAAATTGTGGCGAGACTGAGATTGTCATGAAAGGGAAGGTGCAAATCACCCTGTTACATTAGGAAGCGGTTTGAAAACCTGCTCATAAATATTCTGTCGGCCTGCATCCAGCGCTTAGCAGTGTTTGACAAAAAAACAATATACAAAGAAGTCTTTGAGGTTTATTCTCATTTCCTCAATTTTTTTGATGTCTAAAACAATGACCTTTAGAACAATACGGGAAAATATGACTCGGTCAATATAAAATAATAATCCTTGCATTTGATGTAACATCTTATTACGTCGTTGAGACGTCTCAAAGCGCTTCACAGAATATACTGTAAAGTGGATTCACTATATAAGATTACTATGTACTGTATACTAACCCACAAGAGTGCTATTAGGTATGGCACCTGCTAATGTTATTGTGCTTGCTTCAAAGGATTATTATTTCTTTGGGAAAATTCCTATTGAAGTTCATGTGTTGTAAAATAAGGGATAGTTTGTGGTTATAACACAAATTGGCAACTTTGTCATATTAAGACAGTGAAACTATGTTCTGGTGGCAATGTAGATAGTTACGTGTAAAAAATTACATTTTGGCTAAACAATATTTCAAATAGTTTCCTTTATCAAAAAATAAACACTGATTGATCTTTGAAACCGGTTTGGGTCTTTGGCTTCTGATCAAGGAATCATGTTTCTGCAAAGAGTAGAATGAAAAAAACGTGTGACCGTAAAATACCTTTTTAACATAAAACAAATTCTCTAATTAGTCAAAACATCAGCCAATATTTATCACCGAAGGGTTGAATGAAACATGGTACAAGCATTAATTCTATGACATCCATGTATCGTTCTGTGCAAACCGGGCCTGGCGAATGAAAACCTTTTGAAATTTAACTTTATTAGAGAATTTATTATTTAAATTCTTTACATAAACCTTTACGACTTCTTGCTTGGTGCTTTAAGTATTCTGGTGAGACTCATGATTATTGCACCAATTTGCTTTACTGAAGTAACTGCTGCTGGGTTAAATAAATCACGGATAAAGTGAGCACAGTATGGCCCATTTGTTAGCCTACTAAATATTGGTTGCGACACCGTGAAGTACTCTATATGCCTGGTTAAACTGAACAAACAACATATAGAAAGAGACCCAGCATTTAGCACTAGTGCACAACAGCAAAACAGAAAGTGAAGCCTGATTATCATAATAATAATAATAATAATGCTTGCATTTGATATTGCCCTTTATCACGTCGCTGAGACATGTCAAAGCGCTTCACAGAATATACTGCAAAGTGATTTGATTGTGTATTCTGTGCGCAAAACACAGCAGCCATCCACCAATCAACTAATAACCGGGTTCCTACTTTCTTCTAGGTAAATGGAGGTATGTGGAGAAAGGAAACTTGCCTAAGGTTTCGGCCCACTCAGGGATTGAACCCAGGTCCTCTCAAGTGCGAGATGAGCGCTCTAACCAATACGTTACAGAACTACACATTTTCATTGTCAGGAGTGAAATACTCTATCAGATTATGCTCTATTGGCACTACACATCCAAAACTCATTGCTGTTGGGATTCCAGCATTAATGGTGACAAGAAGATCATAACCAGACCATCCATCCTCAGTGGCTTCTGTTAAGTTAATAATATTAAAAAAAAACTTGCATTTCATACCCCCTCTGAAACGTCAAACCATCTCAAAACTTTTCACGATAATTAATGGTAATAATCCGTGCATTTGATATAGAGCTTTCTCACGTTGTTAAAATGTCTCAAAGCGCTTCACAGGAATTACTGTAAAATGTAGGAACAGTTGTATTCAGCTACAAATACACAGTCACTACATTTGTTTTAGCAATTGCTCAGCTTTTTTCGCTGATGTTAGTTACTGTGCTTTCTTCTAGAAAACATTGGTGCCTAAACAGAAGAAGGGTTTAAAGCCAGGCCTGAGAACAACGCGATTTTCCTAATGCCATCATGTGCGAGAGCTAATGGAAATCGTGTTGAACGATAAGCTGTTACAACATCTCAGTCACAACCTGTAACAGGTAACATTGTCGATCTGATGGGTGGGGAAATGGAATGATTCTGTTGACACTGGATAATGACCCTAGAACAGGTGAATCTTTGCTTATAAATTTTGGGAACTGATAAAGGCTGATCGGAAAATAATCAGAGTTATTTGTTTACATTGTTATTACTCTTATCACTGTTGTCAAAAAGTTGGCTAACAGAGAATAGGTAGGCAGCCAAACTACTAATGAAGAATTTGTTACCAAACACTCACTGTTAACTTGCCTACCAAAAGCCGGTTCCTGCTTGTTTGGAAGATATTGCTGGGCTCGTGTCGGGATATTGAAAGCAATCACTTGGATGAAAAGAGGAGGTGGAAATGTTGATCAAGTTAAGGACATTGCTGACAATAGCCTCCGAACCGACTTGTGAAGAGGGATGTTCTTGAGCGTCGGCAGATGAATCAATTAACCTAACGTGTATAACGGGATATAATACTTCTTGCAGAATTCCTTAACAAGGGAACTGGAAGTGCAGTACATCACTTCCGCTCACAGGCACAATCTCATTTCAGTCTAATGTGTGCGCTATAGAAACAAATACAGAAGCAGTGCCAACTCGAGTTCTTTATTGAAGAATCCCATCAGAAATGGTTGCACGTTCGACCCCCATCGTCTCGATGAGCTGCATTCACGCCAGTTAATTGGAACTACGTGGCTGTACATTGCCATCAGTGAATCTTTTCAGAATGGCTGCAGTCCATTCAACACTCACATTCCTCTTATGAGATATCAGAACATGAACGGATATTGGAAAGCTGTGCAACTGTGTGAAAAGCTGTTAGTGAATACAACCAGCGTCGTTTCACGCAGTGACCCATGCTAATGTCCTGTTCCCCCACTGTTCACCGTCTTGGGATGTCCTCCTGACCCGCTCTACAAATATAATTTTGTTGTTGTCGTTGTGACATGGGTTCTCATCATCAGGCTGGATTATAGCTGCATGAATTTACCATGGTCGTCAACGTTTGACAATAGAAACATAAAATGGAAAGAATTATCACCGAACACCAGCTCGCATAGATTTTATATGTAATTCTGTTTTCTGGAAGGCATCTAAGAAAAATACACAAGCAAATTCTGGACCAAAACAGCAGCAAATTTCTGCTTTTCAGCTGGAAATACTGTACGGAACTCCTTATAATAATAACCCTTGCATTTGATATAGCACCTTATCACGCCGTTAAGGCGTCTCAAAGCGCTTCACAGAATATACAGTGCAGTATTGCAATGTGAATCGACCGGAGTCAATAAATTATTTATGAATAATAAATAAATTAGCAATAAAAGTTAACCAATATCGGTAAGTTATAAATGTTTGCTTCCTTTAGACCGTCCATTACGCCCACAACATTTCACTTTACAGTATATTCTGTGAAGTGCTTTGAGGAGCCTCGAAGATGTGATAAGGCGCGAGCTATACCAAAGGATTATTATTAACTTTACAAGCACAATGCCATCTAAAGCAGAGGGATGATCCATGGGTAATTATCAAATAATCCCCCCTTGTGCAAACAGTTCTCGCTCCATCCTTTCCAAGCATATGAGCCGAGGATGCCCATGTCTCTGAGTGTTCCCTGGGGCACCCGTCGCTAGTCGCTTGCTCTCTCTGCTGCTTCGTGACTCGGTCTGTGCGAAAGCTGCTGGAGCCTCTCGGGGCTGAGTGGCGTTTTGACCGACTCTGCGGTGATCAGGCTGCTGCGCTGATGGCATCCACAGGATGGTGCTCTAACTCCTCTACCGCCATGCAGCCTCTCCACTGTTCGCTGCCTCTCACATTCTGGCTTGTTCTGGTAACCAAGGGGACGCGAGGCAGCTGTGATCTTACCCCATGGTTTCTTCGACGTCCTAACAAAAAACAATTGGAAGCATATACACGACTCGAAATTATACTCCTTCAATTAAACCCTCCGTCGCCCACAGAATGTACAGTCGATTCACTCTACAGTATACTCTGTGAATCGTGTTGAGAAGTCTCAACGACGTGTTAAGGCGTTATATCCGATGCAAGGATTATTATTATTATTAATAAACTTACAAAATCCATAAGGGCTTCTTAAAATTTCCGCAACATTTTGGTGACTGTATTTGTAAGTATAAGCAACAGGCAATTTGCACACAACAATGTCCTCCGTACACAACCATGAAGCAAATGAACAGTTTTATCTGGAAGATTGTTGGCCAGCGAGGAACTCCCTTCTCTTACAAATCGTGCCATGGGATCTTTATTGTCCACTTGAACAGATAGATGGGACCCTGGTTTAACATCTCACGTAAAGGTCTATAGACTAGGTTTGCTCGTGTAAAATCCTGATTTGGTGTTTGAACCCACAACCTTGTGACCGAGAGACTACTAACTGAGCCAAGCTAACATTTCTAAATAATACTTGCATTTCTGAAATTGTTTTACGATGTCAAAACATCTCGAATTTTTCCCAATGGACATTCACGTATGGTTTCTTTGAAAGAGCAATGAGAGAGATAAAATGCATGACTGATGATAAGGATTTGTTCATAATAGAACTTGCATATCATTTGTAAAAATACCTCGAACGTGCTCTGAATGCACCTACTCAATAGCCTTAATAGCAGTAATGTTTTGCGCTCTCAGTCGGAGGGCAGATTGACCCTGGGTGCCTTCAGTGGTTGGAATCAGTGATTTGTTGGAATCAGCAACTACAAAGACGTAAATGAATAAATAACAGGGTATTTGACAGAGATATTAGTTGGTAATGTAGGTTGTTTAGTTTAGACTGCTTGACTCACTAGGTCATTGGCATTGAGATTATTGGCAGTGGATTTGGAATAGAAAGGTTCTTGGTCCAAATTCCAGCAAGTCCACTCATCCTTTAAACTTTCTGAGGTCAGCAAAAATGAGTAAAAGCTCTCAAAACACCCCAGCACTGCATTGGAGTGTCATCTTAGACAATGTGATTCCAAGTGTCGACCCACAACCTTCTGACTTAGAGGCGAGAGTGCTACCACTGAGCCACACTGACACAATCAGGGCAATGTCACCCACTGACTGCCCGGAATGACAGAAAGCAGATCCACCTCCATTGCAGTGAGTGGTATTTTCCTGGGATTGACTGGGCTCTTAGGAGACAGGCAGACAAGTCCACAGTAACGCAAAACAGACTAGGAGGTAGAGACACACGACCTCAATCCAAAGCTCTAATGGGTAGGGCAGCCCTAGCTAGTAGCATTTTTCAATGCACCTGCACTGCCTAACCGCTGTCCATACTTAGAATATTTTCCTCTTACCGTCTTGGATGTACACTGACTGTTTTTACTCTTCTGTGTGTGGTCCAGGAGCAAACAGTCTCTGGCGTGCCTCATGTTAATCTCTGGAGAGTCTGATCGAAAGGCGAAGTAGGATTCGAAGGAAGGAAATGAAATCTTTCAGATTCTTCCTCACAAAATCCCAGTGTTCAATATCAAGCTAATGGTCCTAGCTGTGTAAATACCTCACCACACCATCATCAGGATAACAGCAGCACTCACACAACTATACAGTTCTTTCGAATGTGGACGCATATGAAGTGGGATTGATAATAATACACAAGTCAATATTCCACGGCTGGTGTGTGAGTATGTGTGTGTGTGTATGTGTGTGTGTGTGTGGTCCTTTAGCAATATGTTAAAATGTAAGGTAAACAGGCTTTTGTATGACTATATGTTACCCTGGTTACACATTAGATTCAGCCAGTTACTAGGATACTACACGTGATTAGCAAGAGAGATAAACAGTCAGTTACATAAGAGGGTTTAAGTGGAACTATGCTGGTGGCAGGACATCAAGACAATGGGGATCTTGGCAAACAACCAGCAGAACCTGGCAATGCCATCCATTGGAAAAGTCCAAGTAACGGCCTAATGTGTCATTCAGGGTGCAGTAGCGGAACTTTGTGACATTTTTTCATCTTTGACTCATTCTTGAATTAATACTCCAATGGAAATATCAGTACTTGGTATCTATGTGTAAAGTCTATAAACCCTGATTGTGGAGTCCTGTAGCTCAGCGGTTAGAGCACTCGCCTCGCAAGCGAGAGACCTGGGTTCGATTCCCGGCAGGGCGAAAATTTGGGCAAGTTTCCTTACTCTACATGCCTGATAATAATCCTTAAGAAAAGAAATCAATAAGAATTTGGTCACTCAATCCACGACTGTTTGTGGGATGCTGCTGTGTGCAATTGGCTGCCTCGTTTCGCCCAAAAATATACAGTCAATTCACTCTACAGTATATTCTATGAAGTGCTTTGAGACATCTCGAAGATGTGAAAAGCACTATATCAAATGCAAGGATTATTATTATTATTGTTATTACTCAGCTGGCAAAGCTGTTGTACGCTGTGGAACTAATCCTCACAGAGTAGGAACATCTCAGAGATCCCCAGTCTGAACCAGGATGGAGGGAAAGATGTTACAGTTGACCTCAGCATTCCTAAGGACTAGAGAGGAAACAATCAGCCAAAGTTTTAGCTCCTTCAGTATTATAACCCCCCGCCCCCCCCACCACACACACACACACATCTCACTGAAACATGTGTGAGTGTGTAAAGCTGAGAACAGGAACAATCTCAGCTGTGTCGCCCCTCACGTTGATGGGTTTCTCCATGTGTCAGACACCCGGTCTCTTTCAATTGTTCTATATGAAACGTGTATCAAAGTAACACCTCAGTCTGGGTGTGTGAAACTTCCAACACAAATAGGTTTATTTTGGCAAATGGATAAATACAAGAATAGAATTACACTGATTCAGCAAACCCCCTTCAACATCCGCGACCAATTGTAAACACATCCTTCAAGGTACAAATGGAAATAAATGTTTTTACTAGTTTGGTTACCATACTTACAGGAAGGATATTGTAGCATTGGAGAGAGTGCAGTGTAGACTTACTAGGTGTTGTCAGGGATGAGTGGATAGAACTATCAAGAATGAATAGACAGATTGGAGATTTCCTCTCTCGAGATGAGATTACATGAGAGGGGACCTGCTGGAGGGGCTGAAGATTATGAAAGGATTTGATATGATGAATTTTAATAGGCTGTTTACTTATTGGTGAGTCCAAAACAAGGGGGCATAAATATAAGATAGCGAGTTGCAGATCTAAAACGGAGTTTAGGATGAACTTCTTCACGCAGAGAGTGGTGAGAAGATGGAACTCATTGCCAAAAGCTGTGGTTAAAGCAAAAAAGCATCAATGTATTTAAGCGGAAATTTGATGCTCACACAAGGGAGACGGGATTTAGAAGTGCATAGAAGAGAGACTAAGAAGAGTGGAGGCTCATATGGGTAAAAACACTGACACGGACTAGTTTCCATTCTGTAACGTGCTATGCAATTTTATATCTTTCTATTTCAGAATCGTCTGTAACCAGGTTCATCGAATACAGCTTTATGCCAGAGCTGTTGAGGATATTTTTCACCAGTATAAATAAATATGCGTATCATATAAGCATAATATGTAAGGAGTTAGATAGCATCATAGAAATTATAAATGCTGAAATAGGGCCATTTGATACACGGTGTTTTTGCCACTGCTATCTGTTTTTCTAAGTTTTTTTTACTAATCCCACATTTCAGTTTTTCCCACATGTCTTACTATCCTTGAAATCCCTGAGGAAGCAGCTAACATAAATTGCTTTCATATACTGCGCTCATAAGTCATGGAGGCCTGGTCTATTTTCCAGCATGTCAAGGGATGTGTACTTTGACTTTGTCACTTCTTAGTGGTCAGGATTTCCTCGCTTGTATGCATTGGGTATGCTCTGCTCAGCTATGCATAGCTGTATTGTTGCTGTGCATGTGCCAAACGGCCTCTTAAAATATGACTGCAAAATATTACAACAGTTAACAATTCACATAATTGATAATTTGGTTTTCCATCTCCAAAATAAAATCGTGAAGATCTTCCCAAAACCCCATCCGTGACGAGTGTAATAAAATGCAAGAGGCTTTGCTTTTAATTAAATACAATAAAATTCTGAGTGCTGATCAAATCAGATGCCACTCTGCTCAAATGATGCTTTGAAACTAAATGTTGCCCTTTATGGCAACCAGTTCGTAGTTTTTCTTCGGGGATTGTTGTGGTTCTATAGCACACTGCTCAGTGACTGATTCCTTGTGGTGGAGTTCAATGATGAGAAGGTAAAATGAAGTGCCGACAACTCCACCAATCATCGGTGCCAAGACAGGAACCCACCACCAGCCATCTCTAAAGCTGTTTGGGAAAAACAGACAAGTGTTAGATACAGTGTCATTAATAATAATAATAATAATAATAATAATAATAATAATAATAATAATCCTTGCCTGCAAGCATTGACACAGTCTGCTTAGCTTTATTTTTAAAAGCATGTTTTTTGTTTGTTTTTTGTTTGACCACTTGGAACTTAAAACCCACTGGCAGACACAGACTGCCAACACTACAAATCTTTCCATTATACGGTTATATTTTCTAATGGGAAATTCCTTCTTAGTGACAAATGCTTTGCTAGTGTTGGCAATCAGGGCAAGATAGATCCGATTCTCTCTGATGGAATACACCAAATTAACACTTGGTGTGTTGATTTCAAGATCCTCATCCTCACCTACAAGGCCATTCACGGCCTTGCTCCTCCTACCTCTCCAACCTACTATCCCCCTACCTGCCGTAACCTCCGTTCCTCTGGCTCCGGTCTGCTCCACGTCCCCGCCCAACCGCCTACTATCGGTGTCGGCCTTCAGCCTCTCAGCCCCGAGGCTCTGGAACTCCATAGTGCTTGGCTTCTTTTCTTGGGTTCAAATTTCTCTTTGAGGTCCTTTGACTTTTTTCTCCTTTTTTATTTTTTTTTTTTCTGATTTTGCTGGTATGAAATTGCAGTTACTTTGATGAAGCTCTATAATGAATCTTGTTGTTGTTGTTGTTGTTGTTGTTGGTTGGATCTGGTAATTTTGGTAAAATATGCTCTGGTTTGGCAGAGATTCATCAGGAAGAGTTATGACCTATCTTGCCTGATTGCCTTGTAAAACATTCTCTCTGAAGTCCTAGCTGGTTCCAATGGTCATTGTGTTTTTCCAATCAAATCCAATCTTCTTGTTAAATGCTCTGCAAATGTTTGCTGGACCCAAAAGCAAACAAATAGCAGCCGAAATACAAAATGCATCACCTGAAGGTCAGCGCACAATGTACCTGCAAACTAAGCAACACAAGCCTATGGAAGTCTGCCCTCCTCTGTGGCGCGGGCACGGGCTCTGGCAGCATCAGCCTCCACGGCTGCACACTCAACCTCATTAAGCCAGTCAGGAACCTGGGTGTCTTGTTTGACCCTGAACTGTCCTTTCTCCCCCACATCCGCGCCATGACCGGCACTGCCTACCACCACCTCTGCAACATTGCCCGACTCCGCCACTGCCTCACCCCTCAGGCTGCCCAAGCAAACCCTCACCTACCCTTTCGTCACATCAAGGCTCGATTATGGAAATTCCCTCCTCATCGGCCTTCCCAACTCTTCCCTTCGCAAGCTGCAGATCATCCAAAACTCTGCAGCGCATGTACTCTCATGTCTGTTGAGTACATACCTGAACACCTCCAGCCCCCATCCTGCCACTGCCGTGAAGAGGCGTGGCCCAAGGTCGCGAGCTGGATTGATGGAGCCACCGCAGTTGAAGCTCATTGAACAGCCGAGGACCAAAATGATGATTCCAATCACCACCGGCTCCAAGCCTTTCGGCACCCTGTCGTTTTTGGAGTCCAGAATGGCTAGCACGGAGAAGAGCAGTGCAGCTGTGCCAACTATCTGAGGAAAGAGGTAAAGACAAGCTCCATAAATCACACGGGCGGTCAGTTTAATAGCTCTATTAGCTCTGAGAGCCAGTACAGACTCAATGGGCTGAATGACTTCCATCTACCTTGTAAATTTCTATGATTTCCACAGTACATTTTCCCTTTTTCCATTTCTCTGTTTGAAAAATACCATTTACTGAATATATATACACACATATATATAATATATATGTGAGTGGTAATAAGTATGCCCACCTCGGCAGAATCCAGGATTGTATGATTTCATTAAAGTGGCTTGGTGATTACAAAATAAGCAACTGAAAGTAAACATTGGTCTGCACGCTATGAAGGCAAAACATCTGCTGTACATTTTGCGAACTTTTTGTTCTCACAATTTCGAGGCTTGTTGACTATTGTGGTCTAAAGATTACAGGCTGGTCAGAAAACTGGGGTTTTAACTGATATTCTGCCAGTCTGAATCATTCACCTCGTGTCTATTTGGCTGAAAATGTCTGCTTAATCCAAATGTTCAGGCAATTATTGTTAGGGTGGAACAGATCCAATGAGCAGTTGGCCAGACCATCTAAGTACGTATGGATCCAGTAATCGCATGGCAGGTTACACCACCACCCTGCAGCTCACATCTGACTACTATTAAATGTGAAGGACGCATAATCAACAACAACAAATGATACTTGTATAGCTCCATTCACATCGGAAATCAGGACAAATAATCAGGACGAGGGAGATAAAAGACACAGGACAATGAGCTTTATCCCATTCAATCTTTCATGGTAAACAATTTCTTGATCGTATATTTATTGAAAGTTACCAGGTTCAAGTGAGACTGGCATCCTGTGAAGTGACAACAATGTCGAAACAGCAATCGGAAATCGGAAAAATCTTTGGGCTGGCTTTGGGCCTGACCGTTTTGCAGAAACAGGGGAAAGTGGGGGGCGGTGGGGGGGACGACGACGACAACAACAACAACAACAACTTGCATTTATATAGCGCCCTTACCATGGGGTAGCGTGCTGAGAAGGGGGAATACTGATTACGAGTGATCATTATCACATGGAATATCGTATTTTTCAGCCCCAGGTGTTACAGACAATTAGAGGCGGTGCAGAGGAGAACAACGAGGGTGGTCCCCAGTCTTTCGGGGATGAGCTACGAACAATGATTAGATAAGATTGGGCTCTTCAACATTGAAAAGGGACGTCTTAGAGGGGACTTTTATAGAGGAATATAAGATTCTAAATGGGATTGAGAAAGTAAACCCAGAACAATACTTTGACAGCAGAACAAGAAGGCACAGGTTCAGGCATACAAAGGATAATGGCAGCTCATTTTTCTGTGTGGTGTTCTTGTGGTGTAATTTGAGGACAATCAGTAAGAAGTATTTTTCTATGTGTTTGCAGAATTTTACAGAGGAGATCATCACTGGCTGAATAAGCGCTCTGGGACACTGCCCTGCGTGAAGGGTATTGTATAAATCCAAATTGTTGTTGTTGGATGAGGGTTACTGGGATTGTTGGTGGAGGCCAGGACACTGGACTAATTTGATGCTTTAATAGAAAGATGCCAGGCTGGATACTGTGACAGGACAGGATCAAATAGGCTGAAGGGCCTTAAAAATTGTGCTTCTCTGGTGCTCTTGTGACAGTATTCCACAGGGCATTAACAGCAACAAAATTACATTTCTATAGCGTTGGGAGGATGTCCCAAGGCGCTGATATCTCAGAACCGGTCACTTCCCTACAAAATCAATTTGAAAGCTTGTTTTTTTGTTTACCTGGTCTGCAAAGCCATTCACGAAGGACAAATGCGGAGACGGGTAAGAAGAGAAGATTTGTGCTGTCGCATTTTCACCGGTAATTGTCAGGTTTCCACCATCGAATGCCATGAAAGCGTCTAGTAAATGTACAGACCACAGGTTACTGAACAGTCTGCCAATCCCATTGAATTTTCTCAAAAGCCAATATAAATCTGATAGTCTTACCATAATAGAGCCCAAAGACAGCTGCTGAACCCACAAAGGCTCCGACAAACTGAGCAATGCAGTAAATTGGAAACTTCAACCATTGAAGCTGACCCAGCACACACATAGAAAGAGAAATAGCAGGATTCAGGTGTGCCCCTAAGTCGATAAAAGACAGGGTTTGGGTGACGGACACAAATATTCTCCCATTTACATTATAAATGTTACTCACAATATTTCATAGCACCGAACATATGGCAGCGTCATCTCTTCACCTGGATATGGATTAACTTTTTAGAACTGCTGGCATTTTTCATATGGGCGACTGTAATTTTGTTAAATTCAGCATATTTTAATGATGATCTATAACATTGTACAGTAATATGTTTACATATTATAGAGCTGGTTCGCACACACAGACACACACACACACACACACACACACCTGGCTCTGAAGTGCCCTAACCTGAAGGGGATGCTTCCTCGGTTACTCCATGCAGCAGAACCCAAAGCCAACACTGAAAACATCTGCAAACTCACACTAACGCATGAACTTTACACATCATAACTTTCATTATCTTGTTGCAGGCTGTTCCCTGATCTCTGCTGAAACTACACGTTTATTAGAGTTGAGCTGACACTTGTGACTGCGCTGTTAACTCAACAATTCTGCATTTTTAAAGTTTTTATTCATTTAGAAATATTTTTAAATGAGATTTTATAGGCACTTTCCTCAAAGATGCTCACAAATAGAGATGGGCATTTTAGCATCATAACCTGAAAAGTTACTTTTAGTTGCTTCAAATATAAGTTATTTAAGGGAATTATTCAAGTTAGGACTCTTTGCCATACGTAGAGAAAATATCTTATAAAAATAGCAAATCAGCTCAAACTTTCAGATTTGCTGTTCTTAGCTAATTGTTTATTTGTTTAGAACTCCTGTTTTAATATTATTTTAAAAAGAAATCTCTTAAATAAGCATATTTATCTTTAGTGACCTTTCATTTTAGTGTGCTTTACAAATATGCATTTTTGGATTAAATTTGTAGTTTATATTGCTAGTTTGCAATAATGTTTAATTATTTTATAAATGCTCTTATCAGTGCAACCTTCTGACAGCAGCTGAAATGAATGGTTTTATGTTCAAGTTTTACGTTATCTCTCGACCATAAAGTTTATATCTAAGACTAGTTACACTAACCTTTATGTACCATATCGCAACAACAATCTGAAAGCACATTTGTGCTTTGCAGGAAAAGGGTTAATGTATCATTTGGAAGTTAAACTATCCACAATACTGCATATCCTTATCAAATAAACATATCATTAACAATTTGACAATGGAAGAATTTCAAAGGAAGTGAAATGTGGGGCATCAGTTTACTTAACTTTTGTAAATAAGATCCTTATTTTATGTTTTTTTTAAGTACAATTTTATTTTTCTGTATGTGGAATTGAATGCTTATCCAGTTGGGTTTGCTTGAGCTAGTTTTGCTTAGCTGACATGAACAAATAGGCCTGCTTCGTGTGTTTTATAAGTCATGGTTCTATGGACATAGTTGGGGAAGCAGACAATAATAGCAATAATAATCCTTGCATTTTGATGGAGTGTCTTATCACGTTTCGAGATGTCTCAAAGCGCTTCACAGAATATACAGTAAAGTGAATTGACTGTATATTTTGTGGGCGAAACAAGAGTAGAAAAGGGGTCGGGGTGGAGGATAGAGTGGGAATTGTCACATTTAACCTGAGTCTATACTTATCCAAGTTCTTAGCATTTCAGAGCGTGCAGAATCTGGCACAATCTTAATTTTTCATTTGGAAGGCGGTTTTCTGTAAGTTCTTTTATCGGATTCAGAGTTGAGGCTGAATTCAAAATTTTGCTAAATTCTGGAGGCTCCAAAATTCTGCATAAACGGGGCTTGTAAATCTAGGCGCAGGTGGAATTTCTCCCATTTGTTTGAGAGTTATGCACAGTGGAATTTAACAAGACACATGTCACTTGTAACAATTTCCAAAGTATAACAGAAACACATGCATATTTGAGATGTTTCATGACTCTAGCGAGACACTTCTAAAAAGCAATGTTAGTAAATTTGGATGTAAAAGGCTACGTTATTGTCCATGTTACAAATTTTCGAAATGTTATGAGGCTACCATAATCGTGAAACCCAACCTCCGCCAATTTATGACTGTCATTTGTTTGGTAGTGTTGCAGCCTTGAAATACACTGCTGTACCGAGTCCCTGCATAGAAAATATACAAGACTTGCAAAAGTGTAGGGTAAGAAAAAAAAGGTTGAGACTTCAGCGCTCCGATATTCTACCCCATGTGCAAGAGCGCTATACAAATGTAAGTTGTTACTGTTGTTATTGGCTGCGGTGAAGAAGCTTAATAATGAGCAGCAATTAATTGCACGGAGGGACAGAGAATTGATAGGAACCGCATCAATAATACGGGAGTAAATCGTCTGCCTGTCACTGGGACATTATCATAGAATCATAGAATTATACAGCACAGAAGGAGGTCATTTGGCCCATCATGTCCGTGATGGCTCTTTGAAAGAGCTATCCAAATCAGTCCCACCCCCGCTCTTTCCCCATAGCCCTGCAAATTTGTCCTCCCCATTATGCTTGATGTGTTAGCAGGCGGAACATCCCAAAGTAGATTTTTTATGACTCAAATACTGTGGAATGGCTATAGAGTGTATTGAACACATTCACATCGCTAACATCCATTTGTTTGTGGGGCGAGAAGGTTGGGAGTGGGGATTGCGCAGAAAAAACAAAAATGTAAAAATTTTGCTCTATTGGTTTAGAACTTTATCAGTTTGTTTGATTTGCAAATCTTGTTATCTTTTGGAGTTAGCATATCAGTAGGCTTTGCGTCTTTAGAAGAACATGTTTAAAAACAAGTACATTTAAGTTCATGAAAGATTAATCCACTTCAGACCTGGGTCACTCTAACTCAGAGCATGGTTGAGCACAACAGTTAACCATTGCAACTCTATTAGTTTAGAACACAATGTGCTTCACAGTGCAATTTATCTAATAGGTAAATAAAATACTGTAGCTAACGTCTAATCCACAAGCCTCTTTGATTTATCCAATTAACACTTTGATTTATCCAATTAACCAGTTTATTCAATTAACCAGTTTATTCAATAAATGTTCTGCGTTTGTGATTGAAAACTCAAATGATTTACCAAAGGCCATAGTGCAGAACTGCTCCCTAAAAATAATCCTTACCTTTGATATTGAACATATAACATCAAAAGGCACTTCCTGTGTAATTAATGTGAAGTCTAGCGCTGTGTATTGTGTGCAAATGCAGCAGACAATTCATAAACAGCAATGCCCAACAAACAGCCATGAAGCAAATGATTAATTTTATCTGGATGATTGTTGGTCAGGACCCTGGGGTGGGAGTAAAATCCCTACTCTCTTTTGAATAGCGTCAAGAGATTTTAAACCAGGCAGGCTTGATTTAAAGTCTCATCTCCTAAAGATAGCACCTCAGTAAAGTCTCAAAGTCCCCAAGTGAAGTTTGAACCCGGAATCTTCAAACGCAGAGGTCGAGAGTGCCACCAATTCAACCGAGCTGATACAATGCCTATTTGGCTGATGCTTCTTAAAATTATCAGCCCTAATCCGAGCAGAGTTGAGCGGCTGTCGTGAATGAAAATATCAATCTGAGCCCATAAAAGGAAATATGCTCTGCCAAGAATACAAGGGACAGCTAAGAAGGACTTAGGGACATGAACAGGTCATGGGAGCATGAACACTCACCTTTGCCAAAAGTTTTCTCTTTGCCAAGTGTGAAGGTACAGCGATCACCGTAAAGCAAATGCAGCATTGACTAAATAACCCTGAGTACTTGGAAACACAATCAAAATAACTTCAAGGCCTTCAAACTGGAGATTGTTAAATATTTCCTTTGCTTCCTAACTACACGTATTATAGGACCTGGCAGCGAGCTTGTTTATTTTACACATAATCATGCTTGTCTCTTACCTGATACTCCTATTGTTGCATAAGCAGCAATGGTTATTCCAAATGAAAAGCCAACGGAAGAGGTAATTATGTTACCATTCACTCCTCTGCTCAGCACTGTTTGGGCATTTGAGCTACAACCAAAGAGCTGAAACACAGATTTTTTTTAAAATAAAAAAACATGTTTTACACATGCTACTTACTGAAACATGATAGAGTCATTCACGTGGTCAGGATTCTGAAGCACAAACTCTGAAAATGCAGTGATCACTGGGACATCGCCTCCATAATAATAATAATAATAATAATCCTTGCATTTGATATAGCGCTTTTCACGTCTTCACCACGTCTCAAAGCGCTTCACAGAATATACTGTAAAGTGAATTGACTGTATATTTGTGGGTGAACGCGGCAGCCAATTGCGCACAGCAGTGTCCCACAAACAGTCGTAGATTGAAAATGACCAATTTATTATTGTTTTGTTTTTTTGGAGGGATTATTATTAGGCTCTGTGTGGAGTAAGGAAACTTGCCCAAGGTTTCGCCCTCTGCCTGGAATTGAGCTCAGGTCTCTCGCTTGGAGAGTCTGCCGAGTTTTGGGGGCAAAAATCATGCAATTCCATATCTCAGCTCAAAGTCTGCCACATTGCTTGATGCTAGACCTGATCTTTCTTCTTAAATTGCAATGTCACCTTTATATTGTAAATTTTTACTCCAACGATGGAGCAGTTATAATTCGATACTGCTTTACTCTGTTTAAATGCCTACTCACTCTTAAGTGGATTCTGCAGTCATTCCTGCCGAATTATCCCAGCTCCTCTTAGATGAATGCATTTATTGCCAGATCACATTACGTGCCAGTCAGACACAGCGCTTGATTGCAAAGCCTTAGGTAGTTCCCTGATCACAAATTACAGTGTAGTCAAAAACGATGCCACCTTCATTCCAACTAAAAGGTAACAATAATAATCCAGGCATATAATATCGTGCCTTATCACCTCGTTGAGATACCTGTGTATTTTCTGGGCAAAATGTGGCAGCCAATTGCGCACAGCAGTGTCCCACAAAAAGACGTGGATTGAGTGACCACTTTCGGAGGGATTATTACCCCCGGAAAGGGATCTGCTAATCGACTAACAACTGGGTTCCTTCTTACCTCCACAGAGGCATGTGGAGCAAGGAAATTTGCCTAAGGTTTTGCCCTGCCATGGAAGTTATGCACGAGAAATTAATATTTCTTCATGACTCAAGCAATTCAATAAAACGTGAAAAAAAACAGGTTACCCAAAAGTGCATACAATATTGGTTACATTAATTACTTTAGTTACATTTATTTTTTAAAAAGGATTTAAAGAATTAATACCTAAATATTTTGGCCCGATTTTGCACTTGTTTATAAATCAACTTACAAAATTGTTTGCAAATCAATGTGACTGCAACAACTAGCTTTACAAAAGTTTTTTTTTAAAAAGGAGGATAAAAGTTCTGTAGTCTTGCTGCAATACAACATGTTTTCAGCTGAAAAGATAACAGTATATTTCCCTCATACAAAAAGGAGAATGTATTAAATCCAATACTTACAATTAGTATGAATGTCCCGAAGCACTCTGCAAGCCCTTCTTTTAACAAACCGTTCTTTAATTTACATTTCTCTTTCCAACTTGTCTTTTGTTTCTCCATTGTTCCTCTTGGGATGAGACTGTGAGCTTTGACAGAGAGTTTGCTCCTGGCTTGTTTGGCTCTTTAAACAATGCTGCCCTGAACTTCAACGCAGGCAGCAAACATTGGGCACTTGCTGATAACATTGTCCCATCATCAGTCCTTCCAGGGATTACATCAATATTGGTTATTTGCACAAATGCAAACCCAGTTTTAGTTGCTTGGGAAGACTGGAGATTGCTCTACTCTTGGATTTTCAACTTTGGTGATTTACAAAATGCAACCAAGTGGGAAATATCCCCCCAAATATTGTTTTCCCAAATGAACAGATAGTCCCTGTCTTACTGAAACTCCAAAAGTCCAGTTAATCATTACCACTTTTTGGAAGATATAACGAAAGATGCTCGAGAGATAGAGAGAGCACCAGCTTACTCACGACAAGGTGGGAATTAGATTTGGAAGTGCAAACGGCTGAACAAAACAGAAGTGCATTAAATGTGATGTGTTTAACTGGAATTAACCTGGGCTATTTTGCTTTAAGGATTGCAATGTTCTGTCCGGCCATGTACTGCAAACAAGTGAGCTCATCAAAAAGGTCAGAGCTGTGATACAAGTTGTGTACAGTAGCAGAACTTTGCTTGCGGGAGTCCAGGTAAACTGGCTACCAGTTTGGAAATTTCAACATTGACTGGGAGGTTGTGGAAACAACTAGTGAATATTACAGAAGACAATCTGTTGTTTAGTATCAGCAAGCAGAAGATTCCAGCACATAATCGATAAGAAAGTGCTCATGTCCAGATAATGTTTTACTAATCACAGTACAAAGGTAGAATGTCATAGTACAAAGTACAATTTTTACTCGGTATCTGAAACAAGGCTTCCTTCTTGGAACTTCCAATGAATCAGCGATTGATCAGAACACAATATAATACCATATATATTAATAATCTTTGCATCTCATAAAATGCCTTATTACATCATTGAGATGTCTCAAAGCGCTTCACAGAATATACTGTAATGTGAATGAACTTTCATTCTCTATGTATCTGTCCTTCCAAGGCACATGCTGAATCTTACACATCCTGCTGTACACATCAAATGTTGAACATGCTATATTTCTGTTTATTGTTTCTCTTGCATTTATTTTCCATTCCCACTCTGTTGAATAGATGTTGTGTATGCTTGCCCACTGCTTTATCTGAGGATGAATCTGTCCTTCAGCTCTGCCCTTCAATCTCTCTTTCTCTCTCTCTCGCCCTCTCTTTTTTAATGTGTGAGCAGCAAATTCACGCTGTAGCTATGGTTCTTGTACCTTTTCCTGTTCTGCCCAACAATCCCAATTAATAATTCATCTCATGAAACAAGAAACAGTCGCTACATATGACTGTAAATTACATGTAAAGCACTTTGAAATGTTGGTAAAGTGTTGCGAAATGCAAGTTCTTTTTTTAAAAAACATTTTTATGGGTACATGAGCTTATATTTTTAAACACTTATCATAGAGTGATCAAATTAGTCTGTCCCAATGTTTTACCTTATATTAATGGTGTTACATGTGCTTCGTAATATAACAGGACATTGTTTCAATCATACTTTTATGAACATGATGTTGATCTTATTGAGCAGAGCAATTTTCCTATGTGAGGTTTGTGCAAATTCATTTATCCTTATCATAGAATGGTCAACTCTGTCTGTCCCAATCTTTTTCCTCATAGTCTTGGTGTTCCATGTGTTTAGTAGTATAACAGGATGTCGTTTTCAATTATACTTTTATGAACACAACGTTGATCTTTATTGGGTAGAGCAAGTTTCCTATGTGAGGTTTGTGTAAATCCATTTATCCAGCAGTGACTAATCAGTCAGGTGGGACCTTGGCTTATTATCTGGCACCTCTGACAATGTCGTGCTCCTCCATCACTCCTCCGAGTGTCCACCCGGACTAATGCCACTTCAGCATTTGATTTAATTAATAATAATCCTTCTATTTGATATAGCACCTCATCACGTCAATGTCTGAAAGCATTTCATAGGATTGACTGTAAGGTGCAGTGACTGTGTATTTGTAGGTGGTAACTCAATGGAGATATAAGCCATTGGGTGTATATCATTAAAAATTGCAGAGTTCTTGTGCTTTAACATACCTTGGACTTTGGACTAATTGTACGTGCAAAACATGTTGAGGAATACCTGTTATCTGGCAATATGTCCCAACCTTTGCCTGTTATGAGCCTTCATGTTGTATGAAAAAGACACTTAGTTTACTTGGAGTGTCTTGATACAAAACAATATAAATTCCCATTTACAAATCAAATCTTAGTTTGCTGTAAAATTTCCTGTCAAATGTTTGGGTTTCACAACAGAGTAACTTTGTCAGGTTATTGTAAAACTCCCCACTTTCTGTCATGCAATGTGATCCTGCAGGGCAACATTCAACAGCTGTAACCTTTCTGCAGATGTTTTTATGTGTAAAAGTGGTGGGAGTGTGGGGACAATGGAGGATATAAGCTTTAACAGCAAAATTGGCAGCGGAAAGAAGAGTTAGACTTCAGTACAGTAGAACTCAGTCGATTTGATGAAAGACAGTTACTACTGGAGTTAACGTGATGCTCTCAGTGCATAAAATATAACAGAACGGGGAGAAAAAATAAATTGGAGAAACAGTTTATCTGAGTAAGAGTTGATAAACTCCTTCATATCCAGTCCAATTTCCCGTTCTCCAGGATTCCTTGACAATCCTCCCCAACTTGATTTGCCAAATTCCTGTCTCGAATCATTCTCATTGTTGTCACTTTCCTCCCTTTCCTGAACGATAATCATTTGCTTCCCATTGCTCGCATTCTGTCTTGGGACCATTGCTACTTCAGTTCCAGTACTAACTCTTTTCTCACCAGAGCTATTGGCATGTCCTTGTGTTGACATTTTCATATCTAAGACAGCTGCACTCTTCATTCATAATAAATCGCGTCTTCCTACTGCCATTATTTCCAAAGTTTTCACCTCTCTCTTTGCTGCCTTTATTGCCACCGTATTCTGCCGTTTGCTTATCCACAATCACCGCATTGTGGCTTTTCCCCCAATATTACCATTTCTGTTTCTGAAGAAATGCCATTTCCTATTAAATGGAGTCTAATTTGTGCATTGGGTTAACCTGTGCACCCACGTGCGTGAAAAGGGATTTGTAGGTGCCTTTGATTTTGCAGTTAGCATCTCAAAGGGGTTCAAAAGACTTATTAACAAATAATAATAATTCTTACATTTGGTGTAGCACCTTTTCAAGTTGGGAGGCTGTCCCAAAGTGCTTCAAAGGCTATGCTGGAAAGGGTAGTGACTGTATATTTTGTAGGCAAAGATGGCAGCAAATTTGCACACAGCAATGTCCCACAAAGACCTATGAGGTGAATGATCACTTTTATCTTGAGGGATTGTTGGTCAGGACACCAGGAGAAATGTCCACATGAAAATGCAGACGGACCTGGGTTTAACATCTCATCCAAAGAACGAGTTTGCTCAGCCCCTGAGTTTCGATCCCTTAACACAGGCTGGGATGTCATCAAAAGCAAGAGTGTGTGGGTGAAATCTTAGCTCCCTGAATGATAGTATTGAATTACAGTATCTCAGTTGGCTTTTTTCCAGTAAAAGCACATGTCTTAGAAGCCAGTTATCTCCATGAATCACTTGTATGGTCAACTGATTGTGGTGGAAAAGTAAATTTCCGATAAGAGCAATTCTTTACATAAACAAATTTCTTTGTGATGAAATTAAATGTTAACAAGAACTGACTGTACACACAAATTGTTCCTGTGTCTCGGCTTTGTCACGTACTATATAAAGTAAAGTAGTGCCCAGATCATATAAATCAACAGCAAATACTTTGTTCCTCCGAATTTATTGCATATGAAAGAATTCCAACTGCTGCATGTGTATTTTTCCCTTAGAATACATTATCTATTTGATGATTGGGTTAGACTCATGTGGAATATACAATCAAAAGATAAGGGGATGGCAGACAGAGTATGTGACAAGTTTATACCACCAGAGGGAACCAAGTTGCCTCGTTCACACACTACATTTGAGCATCCATACCCACATCTACACCCCCTTCCCCCATTGCCTGGTATGGTTTCCCCTGCTTTGCTTTGTTAACTGTATGTGGGGTTCTTGTTGTCTGTGTTTAAAGTAATGACTTCAGAGTAAGATGTTTTGATTACATTAATCACTGTCAGCCTCTTCAGGAATTAGCTTCTTTGATGTAAACTTTTGCTGCAGGAAAACAGGAGAAGCTAACTGGATACACACATGCTGGGAATACAAGCTTGTCAGTTTGGACGAAAAATTGTTATGGTCTGACAAAGCACTTATTGCACCAAGTGTCGTGGTGCAACCGTCAGGGAAACTAATTACTGTGTTTGTTTTTACTTCTAACTAGTTCTATTGTTTTATGCAAACGTTAGAAGACGTGTTATTTCCTGGAAACCTCAATGTCTTGGGATGGTGGATAATGCAGTGTATTGATTCAGCAGCAGCAAATTGACAACATCATTCATCCCAGATGATATGAGGTGACATCAGCCATGCAGCCTGGGGTTGGAACATCAGAGACCAATGGGGAAAGACATAAATGACAGTATATTAATAATAATAATTATAATAATCCTTGCATTTGATACAGCACCTTATCATCATAGAGACGTCTCAAAGCGCTTCACAGAATATACTGTAAAGTGAATTGACTGTGTACTTTACGTGTCCCACAAACAGTTGTGATTGAGTGACCAGATTATGAGTATTTTTTAATTTAGTATTACCCCCAAAAAAGCGATCCACCTACCGACTGACAACCGGGTTCCGACTTACTGCTAGGTGTGGAGTAAGGAACCTTGCCTGTGTGATTGCAAAAACAGGCTTGGAAAGGAGTTGAGAAGCGTGCTTACTTTACATCAGTAAAATAAATTGTTCTCTTTTTAAACAAACGAGCAATACACAAGAAAGGGGAGGAATTGTCGACCGGATTATTTAAGGTGTTTCCAAAAAGCAGCCAAGCAAAACGAAGATACTGTGTTTAATTGATCAAAAGAATAGGCTTGTTCTGAAGCCAGTCTTGTAACTTTACAGGACATTGGCTTGGAGCCCGCTGTGTGCTCTGTTAAATTAGCGTTTATTTTGGACGAATTCGGTTTCGCCGGCTCAGTTTGGCAAAAGTTTTTTATTCTTGTGTATGTGTGTGTACTTCTAGATTTCATTTTTATTGGCAAAGAGAAATCCCAGCTGTGGAAATGCGGTCAATACTGTGCTGTCTGAAGGGCTATGGGAACAGTCAGTCACTCGTCAGTCTCCGGCGATCCCTGAGATTTGATGATGCCTCTATTGTCTTCGCCATTGCCCCAGGAAGACTTCAATTTAGATTAAGTAACACAAAAGTGTCATGGGGAACAGAGGGCAGAAACTCAAACATTATTCAATGATGGGCGAAGGTATCGCTACAATAATAATAATCCTTGCATTTGATATAGCGCCTTATCACGTCTTTGGGACGTCTCGAAGCGCGTCACTAAATATACTGTAAAGTGAATTGACTGTTGTATTTTGTAGGTGAAACCACAATTGGCTTTCTTGTGCCTGATGTTTCAATTAGACACGTGGGCAAGTGACCAATTTTATAGTACCTTCATTCCCACGTCGGCTCCTATCGGTGTAGTTTATATAAACGATTCACTCCAGTAGATCAGGCAAGAGAGATTGCCTCCACACGCAGCTGCGAATGTGGTCCACACAGAAACAAAATGTGAGTCCCTTTAAGAGGAGGGCAGATTAGGCAGATAGTGATTCCACATCAATTTCATTCAGTAAATGGGATACAAGTAGAGAGCGAGAGAGAGAGAGAGATGGAGGGAGGGAGGGAGGGAGGGAGGGGAGAGAGTCACAGGAGCAATCTGTCTGACTTGACATGGATCCAGTTGATGGAGTGTGATGTGAAAGGCGTTGGTTCAAATGACTGAGCTTATAGAGTCTCTACTGAGAGGCATGATTTACACCGACATAACTGCAGAATTATTTGCTTGGCCCATTTGCTGCAATGGATTGATGAGCCAGAAATGTCCATCTTTATTGTATTTTTTTTTTTGAAACTGGTTGAAATGGCACCGACGTGCTTTTATTGTTGTTGTTGTTGTTGTCGTCGTCGTTTGGGGTTTGATGGGCAATCGAATCAAAACAAATTAAATCCCTTTAGGCTGCTGTTTGCCTTGAGGTCTTATGATTAAAAAGGTCAGTCAGTGAGATGACACCAGAGTAAGGATGGACATGTCGTATTATTCCTGTATCCAGTTTTTGAATACAATATCACATGCCTTTTCTGTTGTAATTCTATATGGTCGAGGGCTACTTTAATTCTTGTGCTCCACACACCTACAGGAGGCAGCCAGGTAGAGCTGTGGGTGATATCCCCCCCCCCCCCCCCCCCCCACCACCACCACCCACTTAATAAATGTCATCAACACGTTTATTCCAGGTCGGTCAGTGCAGGTGATAGGAATGAATGAAGTGTTCAAAATGCAAAAGGCAACTCCTGCACCACTGTACAACACGAATCGGACCCTGTGCAAAACCGTGCATTGGGGGGGGGAGCAAAAAAAAAAAGGGGGGGGGGATGCAGAGGCAGAATTAGTTTGTTTTCATCTTATTTCTTTTCAAAAACTTAAAAGATTCTACAAGGCTCGTCCAGCCCCTTCTCATCCTGATGCCCAATAAGAGAGAGACTCAGAGTGACACCTGCTTATATATATTACAAGGCCACACAGCAGCCAGAGAGAAAGTCAGTCCTGAGCAAAGCCAAAGCAGTCAAAAAAAAATACAATCAGAATTCTCGATCCCCTTCCACTTTTGGCGATCTGAACCAATCGATATGACTTCGAGTGAAATCGAGTTCCCCAGTGAACTGAAGGCAGATCCGACTTCTCTGATGGCATCTCTGCAGCTTCTGCCGTCGCCAACACCGAACCTGGAGATCAAATACAAGAAGGTCTGTGCAGCATTTTTGTTGTTGTGGTTAGTGAGTCAGAGGTGTGTGCTTTAGAAGGGGCTTTGAGTTAGCACTGAGGAAAGTTGTTAAACGTCTTAAAGAGAGAGAAAGAGAAAGACACACACACACACACACACAGAAACAAATCAATAATTTATAATTAAATCAAATAATTAAGTCAGAAATCGAACACACACACAGACACACAGACAGAGAAACAGAAAAGACACACAAGACACACACACACAAGACACACACACACACCACAAACACACACTGTGTCTGCAACCTTGTTAGAACTAAGTCCTGTTATTGACCTAAAATGATCAGTGTATAGGCAAATACTGTACTTTTTTTTTTTAACGTGGAACCTCAGTTGTCAGTGTTTTCTGTTGAAAAAGTCCACTAAAGAGATAGGGTGTATTTGCTCCTGTTTCTGGCTATCAGGAAGCACTTCCATTCATTTTATCACACAGATAAAACTGTCCCAAACAGGAAAAGCCAACAACTTTCATTGAATCAGTCTTTTTTTAAAAAAAAACTGCTTTGTACATACACGATGTACACATCAGACCACTACAGTGTAGTGCCTGCGCTCATCTTTTAACTTGTTATGAGAACAGGTGGTTTCTCCTCGAGGTACATCTCATCTTGAGAGGCAAATAAAACTGACAAATAGCAGTGTGGAGCCGTTTCCTCCTCCTCCCAGCATCAGCCCGGCTCAGGGGTCCACACTGACAGTACAGTACAGCATTCCCAGAGAGGACTCGTGCAATAACCACAGCAGCAACGACAAAGTCCCCGTTGAATTTACCGGCTTGAAAATTGCACTCAAAACGCTTTGGCTCCGAGCAAAGCAAAGCAAAGCAAAGCAAAGCCCGACGTTTGCAGTTTTGTGTTTTTTTTTAATAAAAAAAAGGCTTGTGGATGTACAGCTGTGAGAGTGCTGTTGCTGTTGTGTACAGTCATGTGGCTCCATCTCAATCAGGGATTATTGATGCACTTCCAGGTCCTCTGTGGTGGACTATGGATGTGCTGTGTACGGTGATAGATGCTGTAGTGTACAGGTTTGGGTGTGAGGCGCGCAATGATGGGCGTGTGGTGTACAGCTATGAGTGTACAGTTACAGCTGCTCCAGTGCATACAGGTATGTGTGTATTGTGGTACAGGTGCGCAGTGTACGGGTATGAGAGTGCAGTGTACAGTTATGAGTGTGCAGTGTAAGGTATGAGTGTGCAGTGTACAGTTATGAGTGTGCAGTGTAAGGTATGAGTGTGCAGTGTACAGACATGAGTGTGCAGTGTACAGACATGAGTGTGCAGTGTACAGTTATGAGTGTGCAGTGTAAGGTATGAGTGTGCAGTGTAAGGTATGAGTGTGCAGTGTAAGGTATGAGTGTGCAGTGTACAGTTATGAGTGTGCAGTGTAAGGTATGAGTGTGCAGTGTACAGACATGAGTGTGCAGTGTACAGTTATGAGTGTGCAGTGTACAGTTATGAGTGTGCAGTGTACAGACATGAGTGTGCAGTGTACAGACATGAGTGTGCAGTGTACAGACATGAGTGTGCAGTGTACAGACATGAGTGTGCAGGGTACAGGTATGAGTGTGTTGTGGAGCTGCTGTGTGGAAAGCCTGGCAGTATGTCAGTAACAACAACCTGATGGCATTTCCCCTCAACAGCGGCGGGGTTGGATCTGTCTGCGACGTGTTGATGGCAGTCTGGATTGGAGGCTGTACTCCCCTCAGGCTCTCAGAGGGCTTGTTGAAGGGCTATTGGCAGCTCCTCTGTAGTCAGTAATTGCTCTGATTACCCGTGGTCTCCCGAAGGATCACTTCACAGACCCTGGGCAGCCAGCATTTAGCCCCCAAGTCAGTCAGATCGTAGGGGATTTGACGTTGATATAATCCAACTTTGCTGAAAAGAGTTGGGTGTATTTTTCTTTTGAGCATAGGGTTAGGGTGGGGTTAGGGGGGGGGGGATATTTCTATCGAGGAATCATTGAGGGGTGCAATCAAGATCTGCTCAAATACCTTTCAGCTCTCGTGGTGCTGTCACCATAAATAGACAGGCATCTGCGAATGTAGTTGTAAGTTGAAGGCTTCACCATTCTCCACACATCAGTTGCAACGTCGATTAACCTTTTTTTTTCAAAAAGAAAAACCCCGACTTAAAAGTCACGCTTCGCCTTGTGCATCTTCTCCCTTTGGTGCAACGGGAGAGAGGGATTGATACAGCTTTCTGGACCTCAGGACACCACGATTTGTGGAATTATTGCAAATCACTCAGTGGATCTCGCCCTGGGAGCCTCTGCGTTAAATCATTTGTTGCCTTCTTTTCTTTCTTTTTTTGAACTCGACCTGCACAGTTATGATTATTTTTTATATGCAGAAAAGGTGATTTTTTTTGGGGGTGAGGGGGGGTTGGATGTAACAAGAGCAAACACCACCCCCCCACCCACCCTCCCCTCCCCTCCCCACCTCCAAATCTGTCAGAAGAATAAATGCACCTCAAAACATGTTGCAAAGTGTTCTTGTTCAACGCATTACAAGCGGGACCTCGGCGGGGGAGCAAAAGGGGGGGGGGGGGTGGGGGGGGGAGATTTATAGGTATTTTTGTGGGTTGGAGGGAGAGAAACTCGGTCCCGTCGAGCCCTTTAATGCAGTATCCACTTTCCCCATTTATTATAAAGAGAAAACAAACAGATGAACTGGGGAGAGATTTGTAAAATGATCCTTCGATTTTTTTTCCCCCCCCCAAGATCTAATTGGTAATGAATCTGTGTCCTTTCACCATATGGTAACTCACCTACATAACACCAGACCCCCAGTCACACACAAAAAAAAGTCAGCTAAAAAGTGGGTGTCTTAATTTTTTTTTGGGGGGGTAGTGGGGAGTTGGGAGGAGGTAATATCTCCAGTGATTTTTTTTTATATATAGAGAGTTATTTCACCCCTTCCCCACTCCTCACACCCTCCAATATCCTCTTTCAGGATTCTTGTGGAAGGAAAAAAATAGTTAAAAGGTTACATAACACACCCTCCCCCCAAAAAAAACCCCCCCCCCACACACACACTGTAAAATTAATTAATAAAAGGACAAAAAAATTAAAGCCTCCCTTCCCACATTCTGCATTTAATGATTTCCACCTAACCTGGGGAGAAAAAACAATGACCAGAGAGAGAGAGAGAGAGAGAGAGATTGAGTGTGTGAGAGAAAGAGAGAGTGGGGTTTTTTTTTCTTGTTATGCCAACAAAATAAGATTTATTGAACGTCTTATTTAGACTCGGGCCTTTTTAAATCGATGTTGGTTGGAATTTCTCTTCCTTTATATCATTCCCACGCCTCGCAGTTTTAATCCGAGAGGACATTGGGCATCAAAGAGAGAGAGAGAAATAATATGGAGAGTTCCAATGATCGTTTTCATTGTTGGATTAACTACACTCAAAGTCTGCAATCACCTTAACGTTTCCAAAGCTGTCAGTGAATAACCTCATTTCCCTTTTTTTCCCCTCACATCAGCATTGCATGTCTTAGAAACGATTAAAAAGCCAGTTAAGCATTTTAATTCAACTGAAGTCAAGTCTCGCCACACAGCACTTTGACATTTTCACCCCCTAAACTACCTGGTTATGAGCTTATGCAAAAATAAAAACGTCCAGAGCAAAGTGAGAATAATAAAATGCAGAGTGTAAAGGAAGATGCCAGGTGTGCATAGTTAGCACAAGTATTTTTTTTAAAAAAATCTATTTATCAGCTGTGATCTATAAATATCTATAAATATGCAGGTTCAATTGCCATTAAAACAAGGCAAAGTGGCTTTGCTGGGCCCAGCTCAGTCATTAAACACTGAACTCACCCCTCTGTGGCTTTTTGTGTCTTGGAGGAATGGCTGGGGTTGGTAGCTGCCCACTGCAAGGCAAATTTTGTTTATACTATGTATTTAAAAATGCGCCACACATTTGAAAGGGAGTTGCAAATATTTTGTGTGGGTACAGGAATAGAGATTCAAGATCTGTTCAGGAAAGACATGCATTTATTTCTCTTTCTCTCTCAACCGGCGGAACCATCTGCAGTATAGATCTACATGTTGCAGTCACTCTTTCTGACTCATTTCGAAAGACTGTGTAGATTTCATCCAAGCGTTTAGAAGCTTGTACCTAAATTCTTCCAGTGAAATTTAAAAAAAAACCCACAGCATTTTTAACTGAGAAACTTTTCAATCTGAAAGACCGAGTGCAAGGACACGGGTTAATGGGAGAAAAATGGGATAAGTCACAAATTAATGGTGAGATGAAGCCAATCTTGGCTTTTACATGCCAGAAGATTATAAGAGGAAAGGAAAGAAGTCTCAAGAAAAATAAATTGATCGCAGGGGGTAATGTAGTCAGTCTTGGTTTCAGTACAGCGAAAATGTAAGGGTTTTATTGTTCCATTTTGCGTGTTAATCTCGTCCCTTTTAATAATAATGTTGCAGATTTTTTGTCATAACAGGACACAATAACTAGAGAAAGAACCAAGACTGTTTACACATTGAAATTGGCTTCGGACTTTGTATGTATATCTTAAACAAGCTCTTAATAATAAAACCAAGATGAGTGATAGTGAACTGGAAATAAACCACCAAGTGACAACAGGATGGAATAGGACATGAAGTGGAGGCAGAGTGACATTTCAACCCATTAATCCACAAACCTTTCTCTTCATACAAATCAATTTGCTTGCTCAATTTTCCCAAGTGTTTTGTTTTGCAATTCCTGCAAATACAGATGACAACCTTAATTTTTTCCCCCGCAATCTGCTAACCTATCTTTCACTAATATTTGAAACCGGGAGAATGTTCTTGCGTGTATTTAAATGGGAAGTTATTATTTTACTTTCAGCGTTTACTAATTGTAAATCCTCAGTCAGTTGCACCTTGAGTGATTGATTGATTCCACATTAATCCCAAGATGTATTTAATCAAAAAACACACCAGGGTGTATTATTCAGCATTATATT